CGCGAGCGGCGGCGGCGCGCGCTCAAGTCCAAGGGCGACGGCGACGTCGCCGGGGCCTGGACCGCCGGCAAGTCGCTCGCGACGAACTACGAGTTCGTCATCCAGCGCGTCGCGCCCGCGGCGAACGTCTCCGGCGACGGCGCGAGCGTGACGGTCGACTGCGGCGTCGGCGCGACGGACAACGCCACGTGCCCCGGCTACGACGCGGCGGAGGTCCGCGAGCTCGTCTGCGTCAACGCGACGGGCCTCGTCGACGTCAACTGCAGCGTCGAGGCCGTGCCGACGTGCCTCCGCTACGCCGAGGACGTCGGCGACTGGGACGCGTCGTCGTGCTTCGTCGTCGCGGAGACGGCGACGAACACGACCTGCTCCTGCCGGCAGGCGCCCGCGTCGGACTACGCGTCGGCGACGAGCGGCAACGCGTACCTCAACTATTACGAGCAGGCCTTCGCGGACCCGCTCGCGGGGTCCTTGGTCGAGCACGCGTCGTCGCTCCTCAAGCTCATCTACGCCATGATGGGCATCTGCGGCGGCTGTGCTCTCATCGGCGGGTTCTTGGACCGGCGGCATCGGGACGACGACGGCGGGCGCAAACCGGCCCAGAAGCGCCCGTCGGTCGAGGCCGGCCGCGGCGGCCGCGGCGACGACGCGGACGAGCCGCTCTCGCCGGGCGCCTCTCGCATTCGCGAGCAGTCGCTCGCGGACGCGCTGCCCTCGGGCCTCGTTCACGACAACGTGGTGCTCAAGGGTCTGCACAAGAGCCTGGGCGGCGACCCGCTCCCCAAGGACGGGCGCGTGTCGACGTACAAGAAGCTCAAGGCCCTCGCCGCGATCGCGGTCCGCGAGCACGAGTGGTTCGGGGCGCTGCTCTACTTTGACGAGGACGAGCCGCGGCCCGTGCGCTGCCTGTTGTGGTTCGTCGACATGCTGCTCATCGTCTGGGGCACGGCGCTGGTGTCGTGGTACCAGTTCCCGGCCGGCATGTGCGAGATGGAGACCACGGAGGCGAGCTGCCTCAGGGTCAAGTCGACGGCGTCCTGGGGCCAGCGGTCGCTTTGTGAGTGGGACCCGATCTTCGAGGACCCGTGCATGATGGCGGAGCTCTCCCCCGAGGACGAGTTCTACTCGGAGCTCCAGGTCGCGGTGCTCGCCGTCGCGTTGACGCTCCCGCTCATCAAGCTCATCGAGTACCTCTCCGCGCGCTACTTCTTCGCGCCGTCGAAGCCCTGCTGCGGCGAGGAGCTGGACGATGGCCCCGCCGAGGACGACGACGCGGCGGTCGAGGGCGGCCGCCGGCTCTTGGCGGGTTTAGGCATCGACGAGAGCGTCGACGCCGCGGGCGACGCGCGAGCCGCCGCGGCGCACGCGGCGCTCGAGGAGACCATGCGCCTCGTGCTCGCGCGGCGTCTGGAGCTGGTCGACGCGCTCGACGCCGAGATGGATGCGATGGCGAAGGCTAACCTGAAGACGCTGCTGAAATGCCACGAGCGCGCCTGGGCCTGCGAGCCCGAGGGCCTCTACTGGCAGCGGCGCTTCGCGCGGCGCGCGCGCGCGCGGCTCGTCGAGTCGCTCGAGTGCTTCGAGGCCTTCGCGCCGGGCTTAGAGGACGACGACCCGGCGATGCGCGCGGCGGCGCTCTGCCAGGTCCACTACGCGTCGGCCCTCCGCCCCGGCACGGAGCGCCTGGTCTTCCGCGACGGCGCGGGCGGCGCGGACGCCGAGCCCGCGCCCGTCGCCGCCTGGGCCAAGGGCCTGGCCTACGGCGTCGTGTTCCTCATGGCCGGCGGCGCCTTCTACTTTACGCTCTTCGCCACGCGGATGATGGAGGGTAAGGGCACGGCCGTCATGGTCGACGCGGCGTGGATGGCGCTGGTCCAGTGCGCCGTCGCGTTGATCCCGCTGCGCATCTACTTCCGCTACAACTTCGTGCCGCGGGCCATCGAGGACCGCGTGGCGCATGTGGGCGATCCCTTCCGTCGACCCGTTGTCGCGTTCCGCGCGCCGCTGCCCGTCGAGCCCTCGGACCTCGCGGACGCGGACGCGGAGCCGCTCACGCCCCGCGTCCGCGCCGCGGCGGCGCCGCGCGCGCCCGAGACGGCGCGCGAGGCCGTGGCGCGCGCCGCGAAGCGCGCCGGCGACCTCGCGGCGGAGGTCGAGGCGGAGCGCGGCCGCGCCGAGGCGAACCTCCTGCACCGCGCGTCGAGCCGCCGGTGGGACCCGGCGCACCTCGCGCGCGCCGCGGCCTACCAATCCTGGAGCCCACCCCGGTCGAGCCGGAGCTCCATCGTTCTCGTGGGCCTCTTCCTCGCGCTCAACATCGAGCTCCAGCAGACCGTCGTCGACGAGCTCGCGAACGTGCTCCTGTTCCTCTGCATCCTCATCGGGCAGGTGACGTACGGCCTCTCCGAGCGGGGCCCCGGGAATCCCCTCTTCTGGGTCTCCATCTCGGTGATCCTGGTCGTCGTCCTCTGGCAGCGCAAGGCCATCCTCGGCGCGCCGAAGGCGCTTCGCAAGGTCTACCGCAAGGGCACGAAAGCTTGGGCGCGGCACGCGGAGGGACAAAAGGCGGGCGCCGAAGACGAGGACGAGGACGAGAAGCGCGGCGCTGAGGGGGCGGACCTGGAGGGCGCCATCGTCGTCTCCTTTGGCGAGGAGGCGGACCTGGAGGAGCCGCGGAGCCCGCGGAGCCCGCGGAGCCCGCGCGCGAGGCGCGCGCGGCGGACCCGGGGCCCGCGGACGCCGCGCGCGCGGCGGCCGCGGCGCCAGGCGGAGGTCGCCGCCGGAGGACCGGGGCCCGCGGAGGACGAGATGTTCGCCGTCGGCGACGTCGACGACGTCGCGTTCTCCGCCTGGACCGCCAACCTGCTCGTATTCCCCCCGCATCGGCATCACCGCCGCAACTCCGCGCTGGACGGGTAATGCATGCATGTACTGAACACAGGGCTCGGGTCGCCTAGCCGGTCCGTCTCTCGCTGATACGTCCCGCGCAGTGCCAGCGGCGGAGGCCTCACGGAGGCCTCGGCGCCCGTCTCTAGCTGATCCGTCCCGCGCGGTGCCAGCGGCCGAGGCCTCACGGAGGCCTCTGCCGCGGCGGCGCCAGTCGCGAGACCGGCTCACCATCTCTGGGCTGCAGAGCTGGCAGAAGCCGCGCTGGTGGCACCGACGGCTGCGCGCTGTTGCACCTGAATCCGACGCAGACGATGCGCCGGACGTACGATTTATGGTTCAAGCGCCTGCCCGAGGCCTGGTGGCCGTATGTGCCGCAGCCGCTGAAGGAGAGCAACTTCTCGGAGGTCATCTTCTTCGTCTTCACCATCGGCTGCGCCGGCGGCGGCATGGCGAAGCTCTTCTCCACGCCGACGCCGAAGATCATTCGCGACGACGACACGCGACGATGAGCGCGTGGACGGCGCGCGCGCGCCGCCGCGCCAATCGCGCGCGTCGTCGACGATTAGTCGATTGCGCGCGCGCGAATGCATCAAAAAAAAAAATCGCACCGATTGCGCATGCTGTCGCGCCGATTGCGCACGCTGTAGCGTTGCGCACCGCGTCGTCACTGTGCACTCCATCAGCTGTGGCGCATCGTCGCCGCTGCGCGCCGGCCGCGTCGGCCTAGCTCGCCATCGCGCGCGCGCACGCACGCGTAAATGGCTCTGCTCTTGTGTGCTGCGGGCTGCTGCGCAGGCGGGCTTCTGCAGACAGTAAAAAAACAAAAAAAAATGGAGATAGAGGGGTTTGAACCCTCGGCATCCCGCATGCAAAGCGGGCGCTCTACCACTGAGCTATATCCCCGAACCGCTGACCGCAAAAATCGTCCTCCGCGTGCCCACCAGTTTCCAAGAAGAGCCTCACTCGGGGCTCCTTTTATATTTGCCCCGCGATCGACCCCCCCAGATCGAACTTTGGAAAAAAAACGCAACAACCCTCCCGAATCGAACGCCTTACTCCCCCCCCTCCCCAAAAACCAAGCCTCACGGCGCCTTGGCCGCGTTCCGGATCTCGGACGTCTTCGTGCCGCGTCGTCGCTCGGCCTTCTCCGGGTTGTTTTTCGCCTGGATGGACTTGTTGATGATCTCGATGATGTTTTTGTGGTCGCCCTGCTGGGCCCAGAAGAAGGCCGTGCGGCCCGTGTCGTCCTTGGCCTCGACGTCGACGTTGACGGACTCGGAGCACAGGTACTCCACGACGCGGACGTGGCCGTTCTTCGACGCTAAAGTCAGCGGCGACGGGCACTTGTCGCGCGGCGCGTTCGGCGACGCGCCCGCGGCCACCAAGCGCCGCAGGTAGCCGTCGCGGCCGAAGGCGGCGGCGTAGGTCGCCGCGGTCCAGCCCTTGGGCGTCGTCACGTTCACGTCCGTCGGGCTCGGCGTGTTGACGCCGAAGAGCATGTCGAGCAGCTTGAAGCTCTTGAGGATGTTGAGCGACTTGGGCGCGATCATGAGGGGCGTCGCGCCGTCGCCGTCGTCGGCGAGGCCCGTGTCCGCGCCGGCCTGGAGCAGCGTGACGCACACGTTCACGTGGCCCGACTCGAGCGCCACCAGCAGAACCGTGCGCCCCGCGGCGTGCTTCGGCGCGCTGCTCGACGTCGACAGGCTCGGCCGGCGCGCGCTCGACTCGGACGCGCCCTCGAAGTAGCCGTCGCACTCGCGCTGCCGCGTGTTCGGCGGCGCGCCCTTGGCTAAAGCCTTCTTGACGCCGTCGACGTCGCCCGTCTCGCACGCGAGCATGAGCGCGGTCCGCGCGAGGGCCAGCGCCTTGTCCTGGGCGTCGGCCGAGGCTTCCGCGACCAGTTTCTCCGCGTCGTCGTCGTGGCGGTCGCTCGTGAGGATGCGGACGACGGACGCGGCCAGCGCGCCGACCTCGGCCGTCGTCGTCGCGTTCCGATGCAGCGCCGAGAGCGCGGCCCCGACGGCGACGTGCTTGACGCGCTCCTCCTTGCGCCGCTCCTCGTGGAGCTCCTTGAGCGCCTCGCCGATGCCCTCGTGGTGGCCCTTGGCGATCTCGACGAGGTTCACGAACTCGTCGAACTCGATGGACCCCGAGCCGTCCTTGTCGAGAAACCGAAAAAGGCCCAGGACGTCCGCCGCGGACGCCTCCACGCCCACGTCCCTCAAGAGCTTGCCGATCTCGCCCGAGCCGACCTTGCCGTGGCTGCCGAGGCGGTCGAACGACTCGCGCGCCGCGACGGCCTCGACGTCGCTGAGCTTCTCGCGCGTCGCGCCGACGTTCTCCACGGCGAGCTCGTCGCTCGCCCGGAGCGTCGCGAACATCTCGACGAACTCGCCGAGCTCGATCTTGCCCGAGCCGTCGGCGTCGAACGCGCTGGTGGCCGCGTCGAGCATCTTCTTGTCGTACTTGACGCCGAGCTTGTGGAGGCAGGCGCCCAGACGCCGCACGTCCATGGAGCCCGTGCCGCCGTCGAACATGCAGAAGACGGCCTCGAGGCCCGGCTTGGACCGCGGCGTCACGGGGCGCGGCGCGGACCCGGGCCGCTTGAGCTCGTCGTCGCCGGGCTTCCAGCCCAGCGGCTTGTCCGGGTCCGCGTCGAGCGCCGACGCGTCGAGGCCCGCGTGGAGGAGCTGCGTGCTGATCTCGCCCCGCGTGAACTTGCCCTCCTTGAGCCAGCGGAAGTACTTGCCGTAGTCGCGGTGCTCCCGGAGCGGCACGGGCTTGGGCAGCGCGTCGAGGCGCTTGATGCGCGCCGCCCGCTGCTCGAGCAGCTCCGACAGCGGCGCCATGGCTGCGGCCGCCGGTGCAACTCGACGCGTGCACGGCGACGGAGCGACAGGGGCTGCCGCAGATGCGCGAGAACAGTTGCGCCAGGATACCGGGCAGCTTGGCCTATAATCACGGCGCAGCATGTTCAATGAAGCGTTCAAGGACCTGCTAATTGCCACAAGCTCCGGCGGGTCTCGAACGCGGCGCGCGCATCGGTGCTTGCCTGCGCTGCACGCCGTGCGACGCGACCGTCGAGCGTTCGACAGCAGAGCGCGCAGCAGCGCGCAGCAGCTTCGCACCGCGCTGCTTCGCACCGCGCTGCATCTGCCGCCGACGCTCGCGCCTGCTGCGACGCGCGTCCGCCGCGACACCCTGCTGCGACGCGCGTCCGCCGCGACAGCTGCGACGCGCGTCCGCCGCGTCCGTCCCCGCCATGCGGCCCGTGCTCGTCGTTGCCTGCGCCTGCGTCTGCTACGACAAGTTCGCGTCGAAGCACTCGCTCGCGAGGGTCCCCGAGAACGCCTTCTACCTCCTCGCCTTCGTCGGCGACGCCGCGGCGCTCGTCGCGACGCTCCTCTGCCTCTGGGCCGCGAACCACAAGACGCGGAAGTCGTCGTTCAAGCTCCGCTGGGCCGCCGCGGCCGCCGCGGGGCTCCTGTTTAAATATTCCTAGGCCGAAGATCCCTTTACCCCTTTACGACGGACAGCGCGAAGACGGCCGCGACGGCGAGGGACGAGGCCCACTTGCCGCCCTCGGCGAGCACGGCGACGACGCGGACGAGCGGCGCCGCGGGGTCCGGGTGCGCCGCGAGGACCGTGTAGTGGCAGGCGTTGGCGACGAGGTCGCAGAGGCCCGGCGCGACGAGGCAGGCGCGGGGCATCGCCGCGAGGCGGTCGCGCGCGAACGCGAGGAGCAGCGCGGTGTAGAGCAACGGGAACGCGACGTCGGCGCCGGACGCGTAGAGCGCCAGATGCTCCCGTCGCCCCGCGGCGCCGAGCTCGTCGCAGAGGTCGCGCACGTCCTGGGCGTCGAAGAGGCCGAAGGGCACGAGGTCCAACACGCCCGCGCGCATCCGCGGAGGCAGCGCCGCCGGCGACGCGACCGCCGCCCGGATCTTCGCGCAGCGGCGCAGGACGTCCGCGTAGGACGCGACCGCCAAAACCGCGAGCTTCCGGCGCCAGGCCGGCGGCGCCGGCGGCGGCGCCCAGTCGAGGCGCCGCGAGAGGCGCACGCAGCGCACGCCCTTGTCGTCGTACTCGTCGCCGATAGCCGTAAAGCCAATCGCCTCGTAGAAGCCCCGCGACGCCGCCCAGGCGCGGACCTCCAACGCGCCGCCGCCGCCGTCGACGGCGCGGCGCCGCGCCACGGCGGCCTCGACGAGCGCCGCGCCGACGCCCGCGCGCCGCGCGTCGGGCCGCACCGCGAGCTGCCTCAGCCGCGGGCCGTCGAGGCTCGCGACGCCGTACAGTACGGCGTCGCTGCCCCCGGCCGTCTCCCAGGGGTCGCTCGGCACGCAGGCGAGGTGCTCGCCGCGCATGTCGGCGTCGTGGTAGTCCGCCGCCGTCGCCGGCGGCGTCTCCGCCGCCCAGAGCACGGCCGACCGCAGCTCCAGGGCGCTCTGCCACTGCATGGGCTCCGGCAGCGTCGGATGGATGGAGATGACCTCAAAGGTTGGAATTGGTGTTTTCGCCATGGCGGCTCGACGGCGGCGTCGCGCGGCGAGGACTGGCCGGGCGTTTTTTTTCAGGCGCGGCGTCGCGCGGCGAGGACTGGCCGCGCGGCGCCGGCGTCGCGATCGAGGCAGCCCGCCAACATCTGTGCAAGGCAGCCGCGTTGCACTTCTTGCTGTGCGAGCTGCTATCTCGAGCAAACATGTGGCGCCGCCGGCGGCCCGTCTGGGCCGCCGCGCTCGCCGCCGTGTGGCTCATGACACCACACGCCAGCGCGCTGCGACGGCGGTCGAGCAACGCCGCGCTCGAGGACCGCGTGCGGCCGCTCGAGGGCTCGTGCTACGCCTTCGTCCAGGCCGGCGAGTACTGGGGCTACGAGTGGTGCCACCGGCGCTGGGTGAAGCAGTTCCAGGCGGCCTGGGCCGTGTCCGCGGGATCGAAGCGCCAGGAGACGACGCTGGGCACCTTCTCCAATTCGCTGACGACCGCGCGGTCCAAGGTCAACGCGTCCGAGCACGTCTTCGCCGACGGAGAGCGCTGCAAGGGGTCCGCGGGCCGCGGCGACGGCGCGCGGAAGCGCCACGCCACCGTGCGGTTCCGCTGCTGCACGCACGCGCCGAAGCTCGCGGGCGTCGCCGGGCGCAACGTCTTCATCGAGAGCGTCGACGAGCCGGAGACGTGCTCGTATGTGGTCACGGTCTGCGCGCGCTTGGTCTGCGACGCGGCGGACCGCCAGCGCTTCGGCGGGTCGCGGCGCGCGCTCGCGGAGGCGCAGCCTACCGTCGGGCCCGCGCCCTTCGGCGGCACCGTGGGCATGGCCTTTGGCGACGAGCTCAAGGCGGAATACCGCGAGAAGGCGCGGCGGATGTTTCAGGCGGCGTCTCGTTTTTTTCGCCGTTTTCTCAATTGTCGCTTATAGGTTCTACAAGGGCTACGACGCCTACATGGCCCACGCCTTCCCCAAGGGCGAGCTGCTGCCGCGGTCCTGCGTCGGCGCGCACTTCGACCTCGTGAAGCTGCCCGTCGTCACGCTCGTCGACGCGGTCGACACGCTCGCGATCCTCGGGAACCGCTCCGAGTTCCAGGGGGCGGTAAGACGCATCACCGAGGTCCTGCCGGACTTCGACGTCGACGTCAACGTCTCCGTCTTCGAGACGAACATCCGGGTATTGGGCGGTTTATTATCGGCGCACCTCTTCGCGACGGACGAGCGGCTCGACCTCATGGAGCCCCACGGCGACCTGGCGACGGGGGGCTACGACGACGAGCTGCTGAAACTGGCCGTGGACCTGGGCTGGCGTTTATTGCCGGCCTTCGACACGGCGACGGGCATTCCGTACGGCACCGTGAACCTCGCCTACGGCGTGCCCCGGGGCGAGACGACGGTGTCGAGCCTGGCCGGCGCCGGGTCGCTCTCCCTTGAGTTCTCCGTGCTCAGCGCTCTCTCGGGGAACCCCGACTTTGGGCGGAAGGCTCGAGCGTCCGCGCGCGCGCTCTACGACCGGCGGTCCGTGCTCGGTTTACTCGGAAAGCACATCAACATCCGCAGCGGCAAGTGGGTGGAGGCGTTGAGCGGCATCGGCTCTAACAGCGACTCCTTCTACGAATATTTATTGAAGGTCTACCTCGTTTTCGGCGACGTCGACCACTGGGACATGTTCCTCGAGACGTACGCGCGCATCGGCGACCACGTGCGCCAGGGCGACTGGTACGCCGACGTCGACATGTTCGCGGGCAAGCCCCGGCGCCAGCATTTCGAAAATCTGCAGGCGTTCTGGCCGGGGTTGCAGGTCCTCGCGGGCGACGTCGCGCTGGCCGCGCGGTCGCTGAACGCGTTCTGGGGCGTCTGGGCCGACTGGGGCGTGCTGCCGGAGGAGTACGACTATGGCACGTCTCATTTGGTAGCGACGACGTCGGCCCTCCGGTATCCTCTGCGGCCCGAGCTCATCGAGTCGACGTACCTGATGCACCGCGCGAGTCGCGACGATTCCTGGCTCCACGCGGCCAAGCTCGCGCTCGACTCCATCGACGCCTACTCGGCGACGGACTGCGGCTACGCGTCCGTGCTCAACGCGGCGACGCACGCTTTGGACGACGAGATGCCGTCGTTTTTCTTGGCGGAGACGACGAAGTACCTGTACCTGATCTTCGACGACGACAACTTCGTGCACGCCGAGGACTACGTCTTCTCCACGGAGGCGCACCCCTTCTCGCCGAGCCGCGTGCGACAACTGCGGGAGGAGAGGCTCGGCAAGCGCGGCGCGGCCGACGACGACGACGACGACGACGCGGCGGCCGCGGTCTTCCCGGAGGACGACGACGACGACGCGGGCGCCGGCGGCGCCAAGTCCCTGGTCGGCATGCTCTGGAAGAAGCTCCAGGACAAGGCGCGGCGCAAGGAGGCCATCACGCAGCGGGCGGCGTCGAAGCGGCCGCGGTCCAAGCGGCGGAACGTGCTCGAGGCCATCGTCGAGAACCTCAAATCCGAGGACGGCGACGCGCGCGGCGCCGCGCGGCGCCGCGCGCGGCGCTGCCACGAGCCCGAGTGGTGGGAGGGCGTGGGCTACAAGGTCGACTTCGAGGATTCCCTGGAGAACGCGCTCGAGAGCGTCGTCGTCGGCGGGCCCCGGACGACGCGCGCGCCCCGGCGGCCGCTCCGGTGCGGCCTCGACGACGACGCGGAGCGCGAGGACGGCCCGGGCGAGGAGGAGAGCGACGAGGACCGCGTGGCGAGGGTGGCGCGGGAGCTGCTGGGCTTCGGGTCCGGGACGCCGTCGACGTCGAACGTGCACCGGCCCCGGCTCGGGTTGCCGCGCGCGGCGGGCGACGAGCCCAAGCGCGGCCGCGCGGAGATCGAGGCGCTGGGCGCCTTCGACGTCGAGGTCTTCTCCGACGGCTTCCACGTCGCGAACAGCGCCGACGACGAGACGCTGGAGATCTCGAACGTGGGCTCTTCTATTATGTTGGTATCATCCACCGTCGGCGACGACGTCGTCTCCGTGACCGTCGCGTCCGACGGCAACGAGGTCGCCTGCGACGTCGCCGTCTTCGACGACAAGGCGCGCGAGGTGCGCGTGCCCTGCTCCGTCGCGCGCGTCTCGGAGCCTGTTTCTCGCGCGTCTCGCGTCCCCGACGGTCCGCGCTCCCTAGGTCCTTCGGCGGCAGCGGCGACGTCGCCGAGTCGAGCGCCCCCGACGCGGAGCTGAGCGTGCGGGGCCCGCTCTTCGCGCCGCCGGACGCGCAGGCCTGCGACTACGAGGTCGAAGACGGAGCCCCGCCGCGGCTCTTCGTCGCGAAGCGCGGCGCCTGCATGTTCGAGGAGAAGGCCTTGAAGGCCCAGCGGAGCGGCGCCGGCGCTTTATTGGTCGTCAACAGCGTGCCGGGCCAGCAGCGCTTCATCATGGCGCGCGCGGGCAGCGACGACGACGACGAGGGCGCGGCGCCCGACGGCGACGACGTCGCGATCCCCGCGGTCATGGTGAGCGCCGAGGACGGCGCCGCGCTCGCCGAGGGCGTCGCCGCGGGGCGCCTGGCCCACCTGCGCGTCTACAAGCGGCCCGTGGCGTCGCCGCGCGTCGCGGTCACCGTCGTCCAGGGCCGGTCGATCCACGTCGCGGGCCGCGGCAAGTGGGGCGTGTTCCTCAACGCGCGGCCGGAGACGGACGACTGGCAGTTGTTTATCGTCAAGACGGAGGACGAGGACGACCCCCATTTCCTCGACGTGCCCTTCGGGGACGCGTATTTGGACGCGTGCCGCGCCGCGGCGGTCGGCGCGCCGCGGCGCGACGCGCACGCGTCCCGCGGAGGGCGGTCCGTGGCGCCGCTGGACGTCGCGGACTTCGCCGCCGCGTCGTTGATCGCGCGGTGCGTCTGCCCGCTCTAGGTTGCTCGTCGTCGCTTCGCTTTCGTAACGATTTACGCTCGAGGGGGGTGTCTTTTTGGTCACAGCTTTTAGAGCCCGCTTTGTTGCACTTACAAATCCTCCGTGTTGCACTTCCTGACTGCGCCCGCGGACGACGTAGCCCGTACTATTGTAGCCCACCCGCTGGAAGTCTCTCGTACGTCCCGTCCACCATGGCCCTCGCTTCACGATTCGCGACGATGTTCGAGGTGACGGTGTCGAAGATCATCCCCGCGGGGATGGGCTGGCAGGCGTCGAGCGTCCTCGCCGACGGCATGGGCCACGCGGCCGACAGCGCGTCGTTCGCGGCCATCACGGGCGTCGGGGACGGCCTCGCCGTCGTCGCGGGCCACACGGGCTACATGGCCATCAAGAAGGCCGTGACGTCGGACCCGTCCATCGACATCGGCGAGCAGGGGGGCCTGGGCATCTGGCTCGGCTCGGCCGCCGTGTGCTCGGGCGGCATCTGGCAGCCGGCCGTCAACGTCTTCCAGGCGTCGGAGAAGATGCCCTTCGTGGGCATCGCGGGCATGACGGCCGTCGCCTGCGGCGGCGCCTTCTTCACGGGCCTGCGCCTCGGCCGCTCCGCCTTCCCCTGGATGCCGGCGCCCGACAACTCGAACTTCGCCGGCGACGCGAACCTGTCGATGGCCATTGGCGGCGCGTCGTCCTTCTTCGTCGGCACGGACGTCGCCTACCTCGGCGGCGACGGCAACTTCCTCCGGCCCCTCGTCGGCGTCGAGGACGTCGACAGCGACCTCCTCGGCGTCGCCAAGGCGGGCACGTCGACGGGACTCGGCTTCATGGCGTTCCAGTCGGTGCAGAACGTCGTCTTCAAGGAGGGCGAGGCCTGGCTCGACGCGCCGCCGCCGGAGGAGCCCGAGGCCGCGGCCGAGCCCGAGCCCGAGGCCGCGCCGGCCTCGGCGTGAGCGGGTTTTGGGATCATGCACATACGACCGCCCCCGCGATTGTGATCGCGGCGAGGCGAGCCCCTCCACCGCCGCCGCGATTGTGCTCGCGCGCGGCGACGACCGACTCCCACGAAAATCCAACAAGAAAAATCCAACAACATCAAGAATCACACCGAAAATCACACCGAAAATCACGCGGGGCGGACTCCGGCCGCGTCGCGCGGAGTCCGCGCCGTTACCTAACACTGTTTCCCCCCTGAGCTCGACTAGACTCGTCGGACGACTTCGAACTCCCGTCGGACTACTTATACAGGTTGAGCGTGAACCCCTGGGGGTCGAGGCGGCCGCAGTCGCGGCGCGTGCCCACGTTGCCGGCGCCGTCGCTGCCCACGTAGCCCGCGAGGCACTGGCAGTGGCCCGTGGTGTAGTCGCAGACGCCGCGGTTGCCGCACTCGGCGCTCTCCTTCGTGCCGCGCTGCGTCTCCGTGACGTTGTAGGCCGGCGTCGTCTCGAGCAGCGGCAGATCGCCGAGCTGCGAAATGAAGGTGATCTGGAGGCCGTCCTCGACGCCGTTGGACCCGTCGGCCATCTCCCAGCCGACGCGGCAGGCCCGCGTCCCCGCACTCGCCGACACGGTCACGTCCTGGATCGTCGTCAGGTTCTCCAGCGCGGCCTCGACGGCGGCCAAAGACGCGTTCGCCACGATCGGCCGCGTCTCCTGGCCCCGGAAGGTGAAGGTGAAGGTCGACGGGTGGGACGCGTAGCAGCGCACGGTCTGGACCTCGGGCACGCCCGGCGTGTGCACGTCGTCGCCGACGGGGCAGCGGCGCCGCGAGCAGTCGTAGCCCGTCCAGCCGCCCACAAAGTCCGGGTTCAGCACCGGCACCCCCGAGACCAGGCCCACGGGCCCGACGGCGGGCTGGTCGCCGTCCCGCGAGTCGCAGACGCACTTGTAGACGCGACGGCTGTCCCAGGTCGCCAGCGGGTTCTGCGTCGCCGCGCCGTAGCTCAGGCCCGCGTCGATCCCCGAGTACTGCGTCACCTCGGCGACGCGCCACATGGGCAAACACACCCCGTTGCCCGAGCAGTAGTCGCCGTCGGCGCCCGAGGGGCACAGCAGCTTCTCGCAGGCCTCGCCGCCGAAGCCCGACCGGCAGTCGCAGATGCCCGAGTTCCGCCTGGGCAGCACAAGAGTGATTCAACGTCGCTTCAACGTGAGTGTTCCGCGCGCGCGCGTTCCGAAAAAAGCATCCACGCGTCGAGACCGTTCCGAGGGATGATCGCTCGTCCAAAGATCAGCCAAAACGAGTGGAAAACGGCCGAGATAGGAGCCTTTGAAGTTGGGAATTTCGCTCTCTTGTCCTGCCCCGAGTTCCGCTCGCACTCGCCCATGTTCGAGCACTCCGCCGCCGCGTGCGCGACCCCGCCGCCCTGGGGCTCGGCCCACCACGACGGCCCGAAGGGGCAGCGCCGGAGCATGCAGTCCGCGCCGTAGTACTCGTCGGCGCATTTGCAGGTGAAGGTCGAGTTGTCGCACACACCGCGCTCCGGACCGCCGCACTCCTTCCACGTCGCGCCGTCCTCGAAGTAGACCGCCGGGCAGCTCGTCGCGCGCGAGTAGGGCCAGCCGCAGTCGCCCCGGTCCCCCGGGCCGCCGTAGCCGTCGGAGGAGCGGTAGTCGTAGTCGAAGGGCGGCCGCAACAGCGTGTTGCACATGCACGTGCCCGTCGCGAAGTCGCACCAGCCGCGGTCGGAGCAGTAGACGTCCTCCTTCGTGCCCTTGTCCGCGCGCAACATGAGGTTGACGCGCATGCCGTTGGTCATGAAGTTCTGCAGGTTGCCGTAGGGCACGCGCTCCCGCAACGAATTGATGAGGGTCAGGTTGTAGACGTTGCCGTAGGCGCCGCGGAACTCCACCGTCGTGTTCCGCCCGCCGTCGCGCCCGCCCGCGGACCCGAGCGGGTCGCAGACCGTCGAGCCCGAGACGTTGATCATCATGTCCCCGAAATCGTTGTCGACGCCCAAAGAAGACAACCCTCGTAACTCGCGCTCGACGTCCGCCGCCGTCGCGTTCCAGGTTAGCTTCGAAGTATACACATCGTCGTAGCCGAGGTAGAAGCCGCCCGTGCAGTTCCACTTCGTGTCGCAGGAGCCCTGGGGGCAGTGGAGGGACTGGCGCGTGACGAAGCGCACGGCGCCCGCCTCCGACCCCTCCGTCAAATCCAAATTCGTCGCCCGGAGCGCGGGCAGGGATCCGAACTCGGAGCGGAACTCGATCTCCGTCTCGACGAAGGACGACGCCCCGCAGGGCTTGGCGCCCGTGGAGAAGGTGATCTGAACGTCGCCGATGGACGGTAAATCTTCGAGATACTGCTCGAGCTGGCCGTAGGGCACGTCGTAGGGGATCGCGCGCGTCCGTTCCCCTCTAAACTCGAGCGCGAAGGTGCCGCCGTCCGCGCGGCACTCGAGGCGCGCGACCTCGTTCTGCTGCCCCAGGGTCTCCGGGATGTCGCCCCGCGGGCACTCGACGCGCGAGCAGTTGAAGCCGCCGTAGCCCGCGTCGCAGAGGCAGCCCATCATCTTCTCGGCGTCCCACAGATCGTAGGACACGTTCGGCCGCACGAGCGTGCGCCCGTCCCACCCTCGGGCCGCGCCGCCCGTCGTCACGCAGCGGCCGTGGCCGCTGCAGGGCGTCCCGCCGTCGTCCGTCGGGCACGCGAGGCGCTCGCACGCGGGGCCCTCGAAGCCGTCGCGGCAGTCGCACTCGCCCGAGCCGTGGTCGCAGTAGCCCATGCCGCTGCACTCGACGTCGCCCGCGTGGGCCTCGTCCGTCGCCGTCGGGTAGTCCGCCCAGGCGACGCCGTGGGGGCAGGCCTTCATGCTGCAGTCCGGGCCCGTGTACCCGCTCATGCAGGTGCAGACGAAGGCGTCGTCGCTCGTCGTCCGCCCGTGGCCGCTGCAGTGGTGGTAGTCGATGGACGCGCACGAGGCGAGGGCGACGAGGCACAGGACGGCGCCGACGCGCGCCATCGCGACGATCGACGTCGAACGAGCTCTCATCGGGCTGCCCCCATAAAGTGAGCGGACAAAATCGGCAGCCCCATGCGGCGTGCTGCCGCTGCGCGGCGCTCGGGGCCGCCGATTCGAGTAGGAGAGCCCGTGATGCCGGCAACGCCGGCGTCGGTCGCGTAGGGCTGCAAAATCGGCCACTTTCGCCGGGGTCGGCCATACCGTCCTCGACACAGCCTGGGCCTCGTCGACGCGCGCACACAGACACATTACAGCGTCGTCTCGGAGAGGCGGCCCTGGCACGTCGACGTCGCGTCGACCCTCCACTTGCCGTGGCTCGAGACGAACTGCTGGAGGACGTACTTGTCGCCCCCGACGGGCGGCTCCGCGCGGTGCATGGCGTTGCCGTCCGCGCGGCCGCCGGCCTCGGGGACGAGGGACGGGAAGTGGAGCACGGCGGTGCCCCGCTTCGGCGCCACGGCGACGGCGCCGCAGAACGCGTCCCACTTCGCGTCCTCGTAGAAGGGCGTCGTCGCGTCGTCGACGGGCGACCCGTCCGGGTACGCGGTCGCGTCGAAGGGCCCCGGCGCGTCGTAGAAGGACGCGCCGCCCGGTCCGCGGTGGATGCCGATCGTCGGGAAGATCGTGCGCCCGCCCTCGGCGACGTCGTTGAGGTACGCGAAGACCGTGCAGCTCACGTTGTGGTTCGGGTTATAAAACGCGGGCCAGCTGCCCTCGAGCGCGACGCCCGCGTCGTCGAAGTAGTCGCCGTCCGACGGCTCGTCGCCGCTCCAGGCGTCCGTGTGCAGGTCGAAGCGCTGGCCCGGCGCGTAGCGGCTCAGCTTCGTGCCCTGGAGCCGCTCCAAGGGCGCGGCCGCGAGGTCCGCGAGGCGCTCGCGCAGGGCCGGCACCTCGGCGTCGTCGCACACGACGCACGTGGACGTCCGCGCGAGGCCCTGGCCGACGCGGGCCGCGCCGTCGCCGGCGGCGCGGCCCGCGGCGTGCTTCGCGATCAACGCCTCGCACTCGGCGGCGCTCAGGAAGTCGTCGACGAGGAAGATGTAGGGCCGCTCGTGGATGAGGCGCAGGCCCGGGTACTTGAGATTGATCTTGGCGAACAGCGGGCACGCTTCGTAGGCGCGCGTGTCGAGAGACCTCGGTGTAAAAGTGGCCATGCCTTGCCACCGCGGCCGAAAGTTGCAGAAATCAAGCGACACACCGCGGTAGATCCTGCCGAAGGCAGCGCTCTTTGCCCGCGGGCAGCCGCGCGGCGCCGGTAGCAAGACCGCCTCGGCGGCGGCGGCCCGGACCGGCCATGGTCAAGGAGGCGCGGCCGTCGTCGGCGGGCGGGCGGCGCAAGGGCCAGGTCAAGGCCTGGGAGCCCGAGCGGCCGAGCAGCGCGGACCGCATGAACGCGACGTGGGGCGGCAAGTCGCTGGGCCCGAGCGTCGCGTCCCTCGCGCGCGCGGAGATGGCCGCGCGGGAGAAGCGGGGCCTGAAGCAGGAGGTGCTCCACCAGCTCGCGTTGAAGGGCAACGCGTCCCTGAGCAGCGGCTCCAAGGTCGGGACGAGCCTGGGGCCGTCCGCGTCGTCCTTCTCCGACGAGGTCCGGTGGAAGCGCGCGCGCGAGGCGTCCTGGGCCGAGAACCTGACGTCGCGGGGCATCCCGGCCTACGACGCCGCGCGGGACAAGCACTGCAAGTTCTCCAAGTCGAGCGCCTTCAAGCGGTCGCCCTACGGCCGCGCGGCCGAGGCCGCGGCGGCGAAAGAACTCAAGCGCCTCGCGAAGCCGTCCGCGTCGAAGCAGCGGCACCCGACGCGGCGCAACTCGGACGTCAACGGCTTCGCCATGACGGCGCAGGCCTACGGCGAGGCGGCGCGGCGCGAGGTCGTGGCCATGTACAACCGCGCCGCGAAGGAGGTCACGCGGCGCGAGCTCGCGCTGGACCGCGTGTTGGACGAGTTCGACAAGCACAAGACGGAGGATCTGGTGGACGGCGAGGGCCGCGACTTCCGGCCCCAGATCCGCCTGGCATCCCGGGAGCTGCGGGACCGCACGCTCGGCGCCGTCGAGGCCGTGCTCGACTGGCGGCGCGCCGTCGAGGACTTGGACGACGTCCGCGACGACGTCTCGGGCGCGCCGCCGCCCTTCCTCTGGGAGGGCCAGAACTACCTCGTGCGCCTCGCGTCCGCCGACGACGTCGAGCAGTTGCTGCTGAGCGTGCCCAAGTTCGGGCCGGGCGTCGGCTCCGACTTTGGGCTCGAGACGGTGCCCGTCAAGCGGAACCCGCTGCTCCTCGACGTCGACGTCGACGGGTTGGCCGAGGAGGTCGACGGCGACGACCTGCCGGCGGACGCGCCGCCGGGCGCCGCCGAGGAGCGCGCGGCGTCGACGATGCGGCGGTTGGAGCGGCTGCGGTGCCGCCGCGTCGCGCGCGCCGTCACCGCGGAGGAGCGCGCGACGGCTGCGGCCGCGTTGCGCGACGCCATCGGCGGCGAGACGCCGGCAAGCTCGCTCGCGGAGCAGCACACCGTGGACAAGACGCGCCTGGTCCTAAGCGAGAGCGAGCAGAAGCGGCTGCGGCCGCCGACGGTCGACCCCGCGGAGCTCGAAGCGCTCGGCCACGACTCGCGGCCTCCCTTACCAGTCGTCGCGACGTTCACCTGCCTCCACCTCGTCCTCCAGCCCGAGGTCATCTCGACGAACGGCCGGGGGCTGCCGGACGTGCACCGTTTGAGGAGTCGGCCCCTGCGCCACACGCTGCTGCGCGCGCCCCGGAAGCTCACGGCCCGTCTCAGCGCGTACGACCCGGGCCGGTGCCTGCCCCAGGAGGTGCTGGGCTTGCTCTGGCCCGTGCTCACGGCGGAGCGCTTCACGGCCGACGAGGTGCGGAGCCACTCCACGGCGGCGGGCGCCATCTTCGAGTGGATGCAGACGCTGGTGGTCTTCCAGTTCACGCGCGCCGCGGACGACAAGATCGGCAAGGGCCCGCGCGAGGACACGAACACCCATTTGAGAACGAACGCGGCCCAGTTCGGGAACCGCTTGGGCGTCGCGCGGGGCCGCGCCGCCGGCGGCGCGCCCGAGTACGCGAACCGCGTCGAGCCGACGATCCGGCGGTTGATCGAGGGCGACGGCGCGAACCTTCGCGCCGCGGACTACGAGCCCCTGAGCGACGAGTCCTTCGGCGACGACTCGGCGCCGGAGACGGGCATCGGGTCGTCGAACCCCTTCGGGGACCGGAGCGGCCGCGGGGCCGCGTCGGTCGACGACTCGCGGACCAAAGCGCCCGGCGACGGCGAGGTCCGGTCCATGCTCAGCGAGCTCTGCCGCGACGTCGCGGCGCTGAAGAACGAGATGCTCAACGTGACGTCCGGCGGCGCGAGCGGCGCCCACGGCTACGCGTCGAAGCTCACGTCCTTCGGGACCATGGTCCGCGCGGCCGTCGACGCCGCGGGCGGCCAGTCGGGCGACGGCGCGGACGACCTGCAGCTCCGGGGCCCCCAGACGGCGACGGCGCGGGCCGCGGACGCCCACGCCGAGTCCGGCGCCCTCGTGACGACGCTGCTGTTCGCGTCGCGGGACTTTTCTTTAGGCGACCAGGTCGTGGAGCTGACGATCCACGCGGTCTACCGCGACGACCACGACTCCGCGGAGTACAAGCTGGGCCTCGTGTCGCCCGAGTACCTGCTGCTCCAGGTCGCGGACAAGGCGACGCACTTCGGGTGGCCCGCGCGGGCGCTGCCGGCCGTCGAGGTGGACCGCATCACGGGCTTCGCGCCGTCGGAGATCGCCGCGTTGCCCGGCGACGACGAGCGCCGCGGCGCATTGAAGCCGCTGCTGAAGATCCTGACGGCGATCTCCACGAAGCTCGGCACGAACAAGCGCGGGCGGAAGAAGCGCAAGGGGTTGCTGAGCGCGGAGACGGACGTCGACGACCTCGAGGTCGTCGAAGCGGTCGCGAAGGACGAGGCGTCGGGCACGCTCGCGGGCCTCGCGGCGCGCGGCGCGGGCCCCGCCGCGGGCCACAAGCGCTGGCAGCAGCTCGCCGTGCCCGCCGTCAAGGACGGCGTCCTCGAGCGGTCCGAGCGCGTCATCAACTCCGTGCAGCTCGACGTCGTCCTCTCGCGGCCGCTCGGCCCGGCCGGCGACGCGGACTGCACCGTGTCGCCCGTGACCATGGCGACGCCGACGCGCCTCCAGCTCCACGTGACGGCGGCGCCGACGGCGCGGGAGCGCGAGAACATCGACGCCCACGGCCTGGACCCCATCGAGGTCATGCACCTCGACGCGTACGACAACGAGCTCCAGCTCCTCCTCGTGCACCAGCCGGGCCTCTACGAGCGCTCCCGAAGCCGCTGGGCCGCGCTCAACGCCGTCGCGTCCTGGATCGTGGCGCGCCTCAGGTTCGAGCGGCGCGCGCGCCAGTGGCACAAGGCGACGTCGGAGTCGCCGGACCCGCAGCTGAAGAACCGTTTGCTGTTGGACCGCGCGATCCCGCTGCCCCCCTCCATCGCCCAGCCGCCGCCGCTCCCGGCGCCCTGCGTCTTCACGGCCATGCAGGAGGGCGACACGCTCGTCGTCTCGCTCCAGGCCGCGGGGCCCGTGGGCGAAGCGCAGAAAGAAACGCCGTACGCGACCGTCGCGCTCCACATCGACGAGGCGCGCGCGCTCGCCGCGCCGCCGCGCAACGCGCCGCGCTGCGACAAGCACATGGGCATGCTCCAGTCCCTGCGGCAGCGCATCACCGTCGAGTGGCTCAAGGCCGACGCGCTGGACTTCTTCGCGTGGCGCGGCGACGGCGACGCGCCGACGTCGCAGGGCTCCGCGGTGCTCCACGTGGACCGCGTCGTCTACCAGGAGGTGCGGCGCGTCTCCGGCGTGTCCCTGACGCTCCAGGCCGTCGTCCAGGGGCGGGATCTGCTCTTCCAGGCGGCGCTCGTGGGCCCGCCGCCCAAGGTCATCGGCGACGCGGCGCCCAAGGGCTCCGACGACGAGGACAGCGAAAACGAGGACTCCGAGGACGACGAGGGGCTCGCCCTCGTCCCCGCGGCGCCCCAGCGCCGGCGCAACCAGGCCGTCCGCGCGAAGAAGCCGCCGCCGCGCGCGGCGTCGCCGGGCTCGGGCGACGACGACGGGCCCAAGGCGCCGTCCTTCGACCTGACGCGCCTCATCCCCGAGCGGGAGATGGTCGCCCTCGTCGGGTCCGAGCTCGGCGAGTCGAAGCGGGCGCTCTTCTACCCGCACTACCGCGGCGCGCTCGCCGCGATCCTCGCGACGAAGCTCAAGCTCGTGCAGAAGTCGGACAAGGCGCTGGAGCCCGGCGTCGACGTGCACCACGCCACGGCCCCGGGCCGGCGCTACGACCTCGAGACCATGCTCGTCCACGAGAAGCACGTCCTGCCCGTGGGCGTCAACGGCTCCGCGAAGCGGCACCTCATCGGGTCGCTCAAGATCGACGACTCGACGACGCTCGACGACGCGCGGCGCCTCATCGCCCTGGAGTTCGACGAGGAGGACGTGCCGCCCCACTTCCGCTTCGTCTACCGCAACGCGCCCTGCGCGAAGAAGCAGGAGAAGTACCGCTACGCGGTCGAGTGCCGGCCCGCGCTCGTTTTAGCCATGCGCCTCGGCGCGGACCTCAACGAGCGCGACGACGACAGCGACGAGGGCGGCGCGTCCAAGCGCAGGCGGCGGCGCAAGCGGGGCAAGAAGGTCAAGGTGCGCGGCGGCTACGACTGGGAGAACGAGTCGGACGACGAGCGCCGCGCGATGCGGCGGGAGCTCGCGCGCATGTCGTCGATCCTAGAGTCGGGCGGCACGGAGTCCATGGTCTTCGACGCGAGCCGCGAGAGCCTCGCCAAGGGCTCGGGGTCGAAGCGGCGGCGGAAGAAGCGGGGCCGGAGGAGCCGCATGCTCTCCAAGGTCCGCGGCGCGTTCCGGGGCCGCGACAAGGGCAAGAAGAAGGAGGAGTTCGTCGACGACGACGCCGCGCAGCCGGCCTTCGAGCCCGCGCTCGCGGACTCGACGCCGCCGCCGCTGGAGATGGTCGCGGTGCCCCTCGAGACGACGGCGTCGACGAAGCAGGAGTCGCGGCTCGTGACCTTCAACGACGACCTCTTCCAGTTCGACATCACGTCCGCGGACCTCCTGCGCCTCGGCAGCCTCCACGGCCGCGACTGGGCCATCGAGGCGCGCGAGGAGTGGGCGAAGGTCGCGGACGTGTCCGACGAGCTCGTCGACCGCGCGTTCGTCGACGACGCGGAGGAGCGGCGCCAGACCGGCGCCGAGGATCTGAGTCTCGGCTACGAGGACAACTGCGTGCCCATGCTCGGCACTGTCCTCGTCATCGCCGAACAATACGACTTCCACACCGCGGCGCCCAAGGAGCCCCAGAAGAAGAAGAACAAGCTCCCCGGCGAAAAGGCCAAGGAGAAGAAGGACGGCGAGAAGAAGGGGGCCGCGTCGAAGAAGGAGGAAAAGAAGGAGGACGAGGAGTCCATCGTGACCATCGCCGAGGGCACGGCCATCACGGAGCTGCCCGTGTACAAGATGATCCCGAAGGCGCTGGACATGCGGCCCAAGTGGCGCGTCGAGTTCGACGAGGGCCGCGTCAAGCCCCTCAAGGACTTCCACCGCAGCGACCTGAGCGCGACGAACTTCCGCGTGCCCCTGCGCTACGCGCACCTCGAGCGCTTGGTCGTCGACGTGCGGTCGCGCGCGCGGCAGATCCACATGCAGCGGATCCACTATTTCGAATTGGTGAACCCGGACCATCTGGTGGACGAGGTCTTCCACATGCTCTGCCAGTGGTACCCCCACAGCGACGGCGTCGACGGCGCCAAGTGGGCCAAGTTCGCGCGCGAGATGACGCTCGTGCCGAACATCACGGACCCCGTGCGCGCGGCCCAGGTCGACATCGCCTACAAGCGCCAGTTCAAGTCGTCCGACGGCAAGATCCAGAAGGGCGGTCGGTTGGACCCCGCGGGGCTCAAGGAGGCGTTGATCGAGATCTCGTTCATCCGCTTCCCCATATGGCAGGACCCGGAGAAGGAGGCCAAGGAGGAGCGGGCCAAGGCCGAGGAGGAGGCGCGGAAGAAGGCCGAGGAGGAGGACGTCGAGGACGCCGTCGAGGAGCCCATTTTACATATTGAGCCCAAGGTCGAGCAGCACGACGACCTGAGTCTGGAGGGCGCGCTCGCGGGCCCCGAGGACGCGTCGCTCGTCACGGAGGACGAGGGCGTCGAGACGGCCGAGGGCATCCACATCAACACGGCCGACGCGCTCCACCACCGCCAGGAGGAGGCCGTGGACCCGGAGTGGCTCCGCGACGACACGCTCATGCACCTGCTGCTGGAGCACGTCATCATGATCCCGGAGGTGAACAAGCGCGCGTGGCGCGAGGCCAAGACGCTGGCCATGCTCGACGAGGGCGAGCGCCAGTCCGCGGCGATCCGCATCCAGGCGCTCCACCGCATGCGCTGGCAGCGCGCGGACTACCTCGTGCACCTGCACGCGATCATCCGCATGGAGGCGTACGGGCGGCGGCGCCTCTTCCGCAAGTTCTACAACGACCGGCTGCACTACCTGAGCGTGTGCCGCTTGTACCGGTACCGCGCGTCGGCGGCGTTCCGGCTCCAGGCCTGGTACCGCTACTGCGCCATCTCCCGGGACTACCGCGAGCGCGTCATGGCCGCGAAGCGCGAGCACGAGGAGCGGTGCCGCCTGCGGCGCCTGGAGCAGCACGAGGCCTACCTCGTGCGGAAGCGGGCGACGGTCTTTCGACGGTGCAAGTTCGTCAACGGTACTTTGGTGTTCACGCGGATCACGCGGCTCGACCCGTCGCGGGAGATGGCCGTGCTCGACTACGGCCTGAAGCTGGAGGTCTACGTGCCCCAGACCCAGGAGACGTTCACGTTCCGCATGAGCGATTTGGAGGTGCGCCTGAGCATCGAGGCGGCCATCGGCGTCGACGGGCTGAGCGGCGACGAGATCCTCGATTCCAAAAACATCTCGACGATCGCGGATCGTCTATTGGTGCGCGTCATCAACCAGCGGCCCATCGTCATCTTCACGCGGCGGGGCCACAGCGAGCGCGGCCGGCAGGTGCTGCGGCGGGGCAAGATGGTCGACGGCCAGGTCTACGTCGTGTCCTGCTTCCACAGCGACGACGAGATCGTCTTCCACGCGTACAACTACAAGAGCTGCGAGACGCTGCGGACGTCCATCACGACCAAGTTCGTCAAGGAGTGGCTCACGAAGGACGAGGAGACGAAGCAGAACAAGGCGCGGTCCGAGCGGCTCGCGGCGATCGTCGAGGCGAAGCGCGTGCTGCGCCTGCAGGCGACGGGCGTCGACGTCGAGCCCGAGGAACTGGAGAAGTCGAAGAAGATCGTCGAGGAGGCGAACATAGAAGCGGCGAAGGAGGCGGCGAAGCGGCCGGAGACGCCCGAGTCGCCGAAGCGCCAGCTGACGACGGGCAAGGACGACGAGGCCAAGGCCGACGGCGGCGGCGACGGCGACGCGGCCGCCGACGGCGGCGACGCGGGCCACCACGACGACGACAAGAAGAAGCCGCGCCTCGAGCACCCCTTCTTCCTCCCGGAGAATCTCATCAAGTTGCTCGAGTGGCTCATGGAGCGGCTGCGGGTCGTCGTCTACCAGCGCGCGGGCGAGCAGTCGAAGCGCGAGCGCCTGGTGCTCGAGTACGAGCTCGAGGAGGTGCAGATGGAGCAGGCGGCCATGAGCCTCCAGGGCATGTGGAAGATGCTCCAGGCCATGAAGCGCATCCGCAAGATGCTGCGGACGAACTGGGAGAAGCGCTGGGACCGCGACGCGGGCTGCTGGTTTTACGTGAACCTCCGTGCCGAAACCAAATCTTCAACCCGACTTCAATGTGAGCGTATTCGAACGATTTGGACCAGACTTTTTCACTGTGCTTCGAGAACTCGACGAGAGCGATCGATCCGTCCAAAAATCAGCCGAATCGACTTCGATGTGACCGAGCTAGAGAATTCTCAAGTTTGGTCAGGACCACCCAAACCAGTGGTTGAATTCGGCACAGGTGAACCTCATGACGGGCGAGATGTCGTGGGAGAAGCCGCGCATGCTCGGCGCGCTGGACCTGCCGGACCCGCCGGACGAGTGGCGCACGATGTACGACGAGTTCGAGGAGCTCTTCTACATGAACCCCTACACGGGCCAGACGTCCTGGCTCTCCGTCGACGACGCCGCGCGCGCGCTCCAGAAGAGCTACCGCGCCAAGGCCGCGCGCGACTACGGCACGCCGTCCTTCGAGGACATCGTCAAGGCGTTGCGCATGCAGCGCGAGGTCGAGGAGAAGTACGAGGAGCACCCGGACCGGCTGAGCTCCATGGTGAACTTCGGGCTGCTCCTCGCGACGCAGCGCTTCGACGTGCCGGGCGCGCGGAAGCTGTACAAGGCGGCCATGGAGGTGAGCCCCGAGAACCCCGTGCTCCTGCGGGCCTACGGGATCTTCCTCCTGGCCGTGCTCGAGGCGCCGCGGCTCGTCGTGTTCCGCAAGGCGCTGGACATGTTCAAGAACGCGGAGCTGCGCGACGCGGGCCGCGAGCGGTTCAAGCTCGCGGAGGAGTCCATGTTCCACTGGGCCGTCGTCGCCCAGCGCGACAACCCGCTGGCCCTGCTCAACTACGCGCTCGTGCAGCAGTGCCTCGTGCGCGACCTCGCGCGCGCGGAGCGCTTCTACCACCGCGCGCTCGGCGCGCTGACGGACGACGACCCCGCGCGCGACAACGTCGTGGAGAACTTCGAGCTCTACGAGGTCGAGCGGCTGCCGGGCGGCGCCTTCCACGACGACCAGCCGTCCATCACGGTCGTGCGCAACTCGAAGATCGCCGAGGAGCGGCCCGAGTGGGGCGAGTGGGGCCGCTACAGCCACGAGAACGAGCTCCGGCCCAAGGCCGTCTTCTACTTCTGGCTCAACCCCATCACGAAGCGCGCGTCCTGGTCCGACCCGGACTGGCCCCTGGCCTACCAGCAGCGCATCGCGCGGTCCCAGCTCATCGGCGAGAAGCAGGGCTGGGAGCAGTACTGGGACCCGCGGCTCGACGCGGAGTTCTACTACAACGTCATGGACCAGACGCTGACCTGCGAGGACCCCGTCGGCGGCCTCGGCCAGACGCCGCCGGCCCAGGAGTACGCGGCCATCGCGCCGGACGCGCACGGCGCCGCGCCCCCGCGCGACCCCCACCTGTCGGCCGCGCTGTCCGCGCAGACGACGCCGAACCTCCTCCTCGAGGCGAGCTAGCGCGTAACGAGGTCGAGGAGCGGCAGGGTCGCGTCGGGCGCGTAGGCGGGCCGGAACCCGAGGGTCCAGTCCCGCGGCGCGCGCGGCGCCGCGGCGTCGCAGACGCTCCGCAGCGCGGCCGCGATGGCCGCGCACTCGCCCGCGGGCAGGCGGAGCGCGGGCTGCGCGCAGGCCGCGCCCGCGGCGCGCGCCGCCGACGCCTCGCAGGCCGCGGCGGTCTCCCGGACGGGGTCCGCGAGCGTGAAGCGCACGGCCGCGCCGTCGACGTCCGCCTCGACGGCGAGGAGGTCGTCGACCCGGGACCAGGACGCGGGCGCGAGGCCCACGGGCGCGCCCCCGAGGGCCTCGCCGCTGTGGATGCGCTCGAACTCGGCGTCGGTCTGGACGCCGTTGACCGCGAGGGACCCGTGGCCGAGGCGCGCCGCGTGCGGCCCGCGCGACGGCAGGTCGTGGAACCGCGGCTCGTCCAAAAAGTCGACGGCGAGCGGGTGGAGCAGGAGCCCCAGGTACTGGTCGTCGCACCAGAAGGCGTCGCGCACCCAGCCGCCCTTGGCGCCCGCGGGCCGGCCGCTGCCGCCGTCGGCCGCGGATCGAATCCCAAAGCCCACGGTGTCGTCCAAGACGGCGAGCGCCGCCGCGACGCGCCGGGGCAGGACGACGGCGAAGCCCCGCGGGTACGTCAGCCCCCGCAGCACCGTGGCGTTGGCGCTGAAGGCGCCGAGGACGCCGCGGTCGCCTCGCGGCTCGTAGAGCAGCGAGAAGCAGAGCCGGTCCGGGAACAGGTAGACGTCGTCCTCGACGCGCACGAAGTGCGTCGCGGGCGACGCCGCGAAGTAGCGCAGGGAATACAGCAGCTTCGCGCTCACGTTCGTCGCGGCGTCGACGAGGCCGGGCGCGCGGACGACGTCGCCGGCGGTCGCGTTCTCGGCTCTAAGAGCGTCTTCCGCCTCGAGCGGCGGGGCGCCGACGAAGAAGCGGACGGCGACGCTCGCGCGGCCGCCGCTCAGGCCGTGCGTCGCCGCCGCGCGCCGGCACCAGCTCCCGCGGATCGCCGCGCGGCGCCGCGCGTTCGTCGCCGCCGAAGGCACGGCGACGAGCGCGCGGACCGCGGCGCCGCGGAAGTCGCCGGGGCAGCCGGGCGCCGCCTCCGCCGGCGGCGCCAGGAGCTCGACGAGCAGCGCCGCGAGGCAGGAGCTCTCGCGGGGCGCCTCGGCGTCGCGGCACGCCGGCGACCCCGGCGCGAGGGCCAGCCCGTTGGCGCCGATCGTGTCCGCGGCGGCGCGCCAGACGTCGCCGCCGTCGACGGCGCCGGACCGCGCCTCGCCGTCGATGCGCACCTCGAGGATCCGCTCCGCTCTGATGCAGAGGAGCGCGAGGGCTGCCCATTGCGCGCGGCCCATCGTGCATCAAGCCAAAGAAGTCGGCATTGTAGACATTGTATCGTGTGTAGACAGCGCGCGTTGGAAGAGCTTGGGCTGTGTCCGGCAGCCCGGCGACCGACGATGGACCCGGCGATGCGGGAGGCGACGGTCGCCGTGCAGACCGCGCGGCGCGGCCGGTCGCAGGAGAAGCAGATGACCATGGAGGCCAAGGAGAAGGGTTTCAACAACCGGGCCCCGCTCTGGGAGCGGCGCATCCCCGTCTACGACGCGCTGCGCGACCCCTACTGCCGCATGTTCCAGGGCCCCGACGCCGCCGCGCCGCAGCTCCGGGCCGGCGGCGAGCCGGGCGACGACTTCGCCGGCGGCGGTGCGATCCCAGGCGCCGCGGGCTTCTCGTCCGTGGCCGCCGCGTTCGACTTCGAGCACCACGCGGGCACGGACCCGGCGAGCGAGCTGCTCGTATTAAAGGCGATCCTGAACCGGGAGGCGTTGCTGTCGCGGCTCGAGGTGCTGGCCGAGGATTTGGTGCGCCGCGCGCACCGCGCGTGGGCTTTACGGGAAGCGCCGCCGCCGCTCGACGCGCCGCAGCGGCGCGTGGCCGTGGACCTCATGTCCAAGCTCCGGGACGCGACGCTGGGCGTCTGCGAGGCCATCGCGCACTGGCGGTCCGCGTCGGCGGCGCTGGCCGCGGAGGTCGCGCGCGAGGAGAGCGGCTTCGCGCCGGAGAGCTACGAGACGGGCGGCTTGGAGCACGCGTTCCTATGGCACGGGCGCAACTACGCGCTGAAGATGGCCGTGTCCGACATGGACTTTGTCGGCGCCATCGAGCCCCTCGCGGAGGCTTTGGGCGTCCCGTCGGCGAAGATGCGGCGGAACCCGCTGATGCTGCCGCGGACGTTGGACGAGGCGCGCGCGGACGGCGCCGGGTCGCCCCTCGGCGGCGCGCCCGAGGAGGACGAATTGGCGACGGACGCGCCCGAGGACCCGCGGCGGCGCGAGAAGCGGCGCTTGGAGGCGGCGGAGCGCCTCCTGCTCGACGAGGAGCGCCTCGAGGCCGCGCTGCGGCAGGAGATGGTCTTGGCGGGCGCGCCGCCGGAGGTCGTATCGGAGTCGCCGCCGCGGCGCGGGTCGCTGCCGGCGATCCCGGCCCAGGAGACGAGCCAGGGCGGCCACCTGCGGGGCATGGCGGCCTTCGCGGCGGGCGCGGTCGGCGAGACGACGTGGGCCGGCGGCGCGGTAGCCGCGCGCTTCGGCGCGCTGCCGCCCGGCCCGCCGGCGCCGGCGACGTTGAAATCCTCCGCCGACGCCGGCTGGGGCCCGCGGAAGCACGAGCTCGTCACCTGGTTCGACGAGGCCCAGGAGCAGCTGAAAAATTTACAGACCAAGGCCGCGTTCGGCGACGCGGGCCTCGCGCCCAAGACCCAGGCCCTCCTCCGCGCGGCCGCCTCGACGAAGCGCCGCGCCAAGCCCAAGCAGCTCAAGCCCCTCAAGGCGTCCGTCTCGACGCAGCCGTCCGTCGCGACCGCGGACAGCGGCCACCCGTACATCAAGGAGGCGACGTCCGCGAACTACAGCTTGGAGCGGTCCGCGCCCCACGCGGAGCCCAAGCCCATCAAGCGCAAGCCCCGGCGCGGCAAGAAGAAGGGCGTCGCCGCGGCGACGCCGACGAAGTTCCGCCCCGGCCGCGCGACGTTCGGCGACGATGTGGTCGCGGCGCCGTCGCCCGCGGGCTACCTCGCGTCCGCCGCGCCGTCGCCCGCGCGGGCCCCCGGCGCCACGCCGGCGGCGCTCGAGTGCGCGCGGGCCGCGCGCGACTTCGCGGAGACCGCCGCGGGCCACGTCCTCCCGTCGGACCTGTCCGTGCTCGCGGATCTCGACGCGCCGACCGAGGGCCTGGCGCTCATCGCCGCGGCGACGCTGACGTTGATCGACGGCGGCGAGGGCGTGCCCAGCGACGTGCGCTGGCCGACCTTCGTCGCCCTCGTCGACGGCGACGCGGCGGGCACGGCGTCGAAGCTGCGGTCGCTCGATCCCGAGAGCGTCGCGGCGTTCAAGCGCCGCGCGCTGCACCGCTTCCTCGACGCGGCGAACCGGGAGGCGCGCCACTGGAAGGCCCTACCGTCGCCGCCGGCCGTCGCCGCGGCGAAGAAGCTCGACGGCTGGGTCGGCTGCGCGCTCGCGGCCGCGGACGCGTGCGCCGCCGCCGTCGCCGCCGCGACGGGCGCGGAGCCGCCGGCCGAGTGCGACGAGGCCGCCGCCGACGCCCTGGACACGGCGGCGATCTGCTGCCGCCGGGCGCGCGGCGCGGCGCCGAAGCGCAAGAAGAAGAAGAAGGCGCCCGCGGGCGGCGGCGCCAAGGCGGGCGTCGACCTCAAGCGGCGCCACTCCGCGCGGCTCGCCAAGGACGAGATCCTCGTGACCGTGCTGCGCGAGGACCTGGGCCCGGACCCCGGCTCGACGTCTTCGGCGGACTCGCCCTGGCTCGTGACCATCTTCAAGCGCAAGGGCGGCGGCTTCGACCAGGGCGGGACAAGAGAGCGAAATTCCCAACTTCAAAGGCTCCGATCTCGGCCGTTTTCCACTCGTTTCGGCTGATTTTTGGACGAGCGATCATCTCTCGGAACGGTCTCGACGCATGGATGCCTTTTCCGGAACGCGCGCGCGCGGCACACTCACGTTGAAGCGACGTTGAATCACTCTTTTCCTGCCCAGGCTTCGAGGCGCGCGCGTACCACCCGGGCACGTCCGTGGAGTGCTCGCTGCGCGTCGCCGACGAGGAGGCGCCGCGGGGCTGCGACCTGCGGACCTGGGCCACGGACGGCCTACCCTTCGCGCTCGACATGTACCGCCGCGGCGGCTCGGAGCTGCCCCGGCTCCGCCTCGGCCCGCCGGGCGCCACGGGCAAGGGCAAGAAGACCAAGGGCGGCGCCAGGGGCGCCAAGCGGGGCAGCGCCGGCGGCGCCTACGCCGAGGCGAGCGACGCGGACCACGTGGAGCGCGCCATCGCGGCCATCTCCGCGGGGAAGGACGACGTCCGCGGGCTGCTCGCGCTGCTGCCCCAGGAGCTGTTGGACTACCTCGAGTCCGACGCCTTCGAGGAGGAGTGCTGGGCGCGCTACGACGCTTTGGACGCGGACGGCAACGGCACGCTGAGCGCCGACGAGCTCATCCCCGTCGTCGCGGAGTTGGCGGGCGCGCGCGACGAGCTGTCGGTGTCCGTCGCGCGCTGCGAGACGCTCGTGCGCACCTTCGACCGCGGCGACAAGGGCGCCGTGGACCGCGCGGAGTTCGCGACGCTCTGCCGCTACGTCATCACGGTCGCGTTCCTGCGGTCGCGCGAGGCCGCGCGCGTCGACTCGATTCTGGGCGCGCTCCGCCACAAGGGCGACGTCGAGGCCATCTTCGACAAGCTCCCCGAGGGTTTAAGGGCGGAGCTGACGTCCGACGCCTTCCGCCGCAAGTCGCTCGAGCTTTTTGAAGCTTTGGACGCGGACGGCGACGGCGTGCTCCAGTCGTCGGAGCTCCCGCCCTTGGTCGCGGAGCTGAGCGGCACGCACGCGTCGGCCATCACGGCGGACCAGTGCGCGGAGCTCACGAAGCTCTACGCGACGGGCGAGGGCGGCATCGACCGGGCCGACTTCGTGAACTTCGCGGCCTACGCGCGCATCGTCGCCTATTTGGAGAGTTTGAAGGACCAGCTCCGCGACGACGACGAGCGCCGCGTCGAGTCGCTGCTGAACATGCTGCGCGCGGGCAAGGAGAACCTGGACGCCGTGCTGGACGCCCTGCCCGGCGACTTCGCGGCCTACGTGACGTCCAACGAGTTCCTGGACGCCTGCATGGACCGCTTCGACGCGCTCGACGCGGACGGCAACGGGTCGCTGTCGCCGGACGAGCTCTGGCCCGTCGTCGTCGACATGTCCGGGGCCAACGACCTGACGAACATCACGCTGGACATGTGCGAGCGGCTGAGCCAGCTCTTCGACGAGGACGGCGACGGGACCATCGACCGCGGCGAGTTCGTGCTCTTCAGGGCAGCACAAGAGAGCGAAATTCCCAACTTCAAAGGCTCCGATCTCGGCCATTTTCCACTCGTTTCGGCTGATTTTTGGACGAGCGATCATCTCTCGGAACGGTTTCGAAGCGTGGATGTGTTTTCCGTAACGCGCGGCGCGCGGAACACTCACGTTGAAGCGACGTTGAATCTCTCTTGTCCTGCCCAGGTGCTCTTCAGCCAGTTCGTCATGGCCGTCGACTTCCTCGAGACCGAGGCGAACCGGGCCGACGACACCGAGGCCGTCGAGGATCTTTTGGCGAAGCTCAAGGAGGGCCAGCGCTACCTCGCCGACGTTGTGGACGCGCTGCCGGACCAGCTGACGGGCTACCTCACGTCCGACGACTTCGTGGACCGGTGCATGGCCGACTTCGACGCGCTCGACGCCGACGGCAACGGGTGCCTGACGCCCGACGAGCTCTGGCCCGTCATCGTGAATTTGGCGCAGACGCCCGACGACGTGAACATCACCATGGACCAGTGCGAGGACCTGAGCCGGACCTTCGACGCGAACGGCGACGGCGTCATCGACCGGGGCGAGTTCGTCGCGTTCTCCCAGTTCGTCATGGCCATGGACTACCTCGAGAACGAGGCCAACGCCGCCGAGGACACGATGCGCATCGAGGACCTGCTCGCGAAGCTCCGCGAGGGCCAGAAGTACCTCGGCGAGGTCGTCGCGTCGCTGCCCGACCAGCTCACGGAGTACCTGACGGGCGACGACTTCATCGAGCGGTGCATGGCGGAGTTCGACGCGCTGGACGCCGACGGCAACGGGTGCCTCACGCCCGACGAGCTCTGGCCTTTGATCGTGTCGCTCGCGCAGACGCCCGACGACGTCAACATCACCATGGAGCACTGCGAGGCGCTGAGCCGCACCTTCGACGCGAACGGCGACGGCGTCATCGACCGGGGGGAGTTCGTCGCGTTCTCCCAGTTCGTCATGGCCATGAACTACCTCGAGGACCAGCGGAACGCGGCGGCCGAGGACGACGACTTCCGCGTGGACGCGCTGCTGGCCCGGCTCCGCGAGGGCAAGGAGCACCTCGACGAGGTCATCCGGGCCATGCCCGAGGACCTCGTGGCCTACCTGACGTCGACGGAGTTCGTCAACGGCTGCATGGCGCGCTTCGGGGAGCTCGACGCGGACGGCAACGGGCGCCTGACGCCCGACGAGCTCTGGCCGATTCTGGTGTCCCTCGCGGGGACGCGCGACGAGTTCTCCATCACGATGGACCACTGCGAGACGCTGGGCGCCTACTTCGACACGGACGGCGACGGGTCCATCGACCGGGGCGAGTTCGTCGCGTTCTCGCAGTTCGTCATGGCCATGAACTACCTCGAGATGGAGGCGGCGCAGCGGGCCCAGGCCGAGGAGCTCCGGCTCCGGGACGCGCGGGGCTTCGTCGCCTTCGTGCGGGAGCGCTGCGCGGACGTGCCCGCGCTGCTCTCGGACCTCCCGGAGGCGCTCGTGGGCTACCTCGGCAGCGACCAGTTCGCCGCCGAGGCCGCGGCCAAGTACGACGCCCTGGACGCCGACGGCAACGGCGCGCTGACGCCCGACGAGCTCGCGCCGCTGATCGTGGACCTCGCGGCGAACGAGGCGAGCCTCCGGGACGTCGCCGTGAGCCTCGACGAGTGCCTCGAGTTCGCGGATTTGTTCGACGGCGACGGCAAGGGCTACGTGACCCGCGGCGAGTTCGTCACGCTCTGCCAGTTCAGTTTCGGCGCCGCGTGGCTCAAGGGCGCGGAGGCCGCGCGCGTCGAAGAGACGCTGGCGACGCTCCGCGCGAACGCGCGCCGCGCGGACGAGCTGCTGCCCAAGCTCCCCGCGGAGGTGTCGGCCTACCTCACGTCCGACGCCTTCCGGGCCAAGTGCGACGCCGAGTTCGGCAAGCTCGACGCGGACGGCAACGGCGCGCTGTCGCCGGACGAGCTCTGGCCGTCCATCATGGAGCTCGCGGGTCTGAGAGATGATCTCGTGGTGGAGCCGGAGCACTGCGAGGACCTCGCGCGCATGTTCGACGCCGACGGCAACGGCGTGCTGGACCGCCGCGAGTTCTGCGACTTCGCGATCTTCGTCTTCGCGGTCAAGTACCTCGAGCAGCTCAAGGCCCAGCTCGACGCGGCGCTCGACGGCTCGAGCGCCGTGCGCATGATCGACGCGGGGAAGCCGCGCAATCTGTACGCCGACAAGCGCCGCGTGTCCGCGCTGCTGTCGACCGTCGAGACGAACCTCGCGAACATCGGCTCGGTGATCGCGGAGCTCCCGGCGGATTTGGTGGACTTTCTGTACGCGCCGTCGTTCAAGGAGGACGCCGAGGCCCAGTTCGACGCGCTCGACGCCGACGGGGCGGGCTTCCTGAAGCCGGACCAGCTCGCGCCCGTGATCGTGGCTTTGGCCCAGTCGCGCGACGATTTGGCCGTGGAGCCGCACCACTGCGAGCGGCTCTGCGCGAACTTCGCGACGACGAAGCCGGGGCTGGTCACCAAAGCGGAGTTCATCGGCATGTCCCAGTTCATCCTCGCGACGACGTACCTCTACGTCGCGGAATCCGCGCGCGTCGACGGCCTCCTCGACTCGCTCAAGGCGGGCAAGGGCGCGCTGGAGACGCTCATCCAGACGCTCCCCGAGGACTTGATGGACCGGCTGAGCGCCCAGGCCTTTGTGGAGGACTGCGACCTGCGCTTCGCGGCGCTCGACGCGGACGGCAACGGCACGCTGGACGCGAAGGAGTTGTTGCCCCTCGTCGTCGAGCTCACGCAGGCGCACCACGCCGTGTCCGTGACGCCGGACCACTGCGAGGCCCTCGTGGCCATCTTCGACACGGACGGCAACGGCGTCATCGACAAGAAGGAGTTCGTCGAGTTCACGCAGTACGTCGTCATCCACGCGCACGCGACGGCGACGCGGAACGACCTCGCGGCGACCTTCGACGACGCGGCCTTCGACGCGGCCGTCGACATCGTCGGCACCCACGACGTCGTGTCCAGCGACGAGTAGCGAGGTTGCGCGTAAGGGCTCTTGCTTGGACTTGTGTTTTTAGCTTCAACACGGCTTCAAGCAGAGCATCTGGGTCAGTGTTGCAGGCCGTCTCAGTTCGAAGCTGGGCGCGCGCGCCGGTCGAGTTTCGAGCCCACGATGTCGGCCGCGAAGCGTGCGACGGAGGTCCCGCGACGACCGTCGACGATGTGGTCTTCGCTGCCAGGCGCGCAGCAGCTCGAGGTCTGCGCCTTTCTCGACCCGCGCTCGCTGGGTCGCCTGGAGCTCTGCGGGAGCCGTCAATTCGAGGAGGCGCGCGCCCGCGCCTGGATGCAGGCGGCGGCGGGCACTCCCCGCGGCGCCCTTGCTATACTCCAGAGCGACAAAAAATTCCTGGCCGCGCACACGCAGTTGCGATCGCTCTACCCGACGTCGATGCAGCAAGCGCGAGGTTTCGGGGACCACCCGCGCCCGACCGACCATGCGCTCTTCGAAGACTTCGTGTTCACCTTCGTGATTAGCTGGGAGGATTTCGGGGGAGATTTTCATACGGCCGCGTTCGAGCACATGAGGTGCAACGACCCTCGTCAAATGCGACGTTTTGGCAATATTTCAACCTTTTTTTTTGCAGTTTCAGACGCTGATCCTGGTCGCGACATCCTTAAATGGCCGCTATTAGGATCACAAGAGTTCGTTGACAGCCGTGCGTTCACTAATTATTGGCAGCCGGTGGCGAGCCAATACTGCACTAGAAAACGCGATGGCGTCACGATCAAGATTGCAGAATGGGAGTGTGTTGAATCAGATATCAATAGTATGGGCTGGGGTGAGTTGGGGTCGATTTCCTTTGAAAATGGGCTGCTCAACCTGGATCACGATATGGACACGCATTCTACCCTGCACCTGCTTTTCGACACAGCTACCGGGCGGTTGCGCTGTTTGACCTCATCGCATTTCGAAGAGAGCGACGATCCGGACGAAGAACGTAGCTTGTCCAATCGCACCTTCCGCGCCCTCTTGCTCGCAAAGTTCGAAGACGCGACTGCGGTGCGGGTAGTGACGCGACTACCCACACCTGTAAGCCTAGCTTAAGCCTCGCAATCCTCCGGTCGAAAGGCGGTGAAGGCGTCGCCGCCGCCTCGGCCCGCGCGCGGCGCGATGCCGCCGCCGCGCGCGAGGTGGCCGAGCGCGAGCGGCGCCGCGGCGCGCGCCTTCGCGAAGAGCGCCTCGACGGCCTCGAAGGACGGGTAGTCGTTGCCCCGGCCGACGCGGTGGACGGCGATGGGCGCGGAAGCGAGCGGCTTCAGCGGGCCGTGGGGCCGGCGCGGGCCGCGGACCGGCCGCGCGTTGACCTTGCGGGCCGGCTGGGGGCCCTCGTCCGCGGTCGGCAGGCCCGGGAGCCGCCGCGCGTCGCGGACGTAGAAGTCGGGCTCGGGCATGCCCAGGGGCTCGATGCCGAGGCTCCAGAGGAAGACGCCGAGGCCGCCCTCGTGGGACACGGAGAAGAGCGCGCACTCCTCGGAGACGCCGCGGCGCTCGAGGCCCGCGCGCGCGAGGGCCAGCGCGCCGCGCGAGAGGATCGCCGGCTGGGCCCAGTAGCTCTGGCGCATGACGCTGCGGCAGGCGACGGACGCCTTGAACGGCGGCCGGTTCCGCGCGCCGGACGGCACGACCGCGAAGGCCTTGTTTGAGTCCAACGGCTCGAGGCTCGCGCGGAGGGACTCCGCGTCGAAGAAGACGTCGTCGTCGGCGAAGGCCGCCCACCGGGCGGTTCCCGTGCGCGCCGCGTGGGCGAGGCCGACGTCGCACTTGCAGCACGGGCCCGCGCCGCGGTACTCGTTCGTGCAGTTGCTCAGGAGGAACGTCGCGCCGCCGAGGTCGGCGCACGCGAGCTCCTGGCCCGTCGCGCCGGCTTCGCACCGCCGGCCGTCGTCCGAATCCGCGAAGGACGCCTCGACGACGAAGTAGACGGCGTCGAAGTGCCTGCCCCAGGTCGCCAGGGCCGGCAGGGCCCGCTGGCGGATCCAGTGCAGCGGCTCCGCGTGCGTCTTGTTGACGCGCTTCGTCTGCGCCGTCGAGAGCACGTAGAAGGCGACGTCCGTGTCCGCGGCGGCGATCACCGTGAGCGCGGCGAGCGCGGCGAGGGCTGCCCGGGAGGCCATCGTCCGCGTGTTTGAAGAAACATCAACTTGAATAGTGAAGTCCGAAAGAAAACACATCGTGCTCCCTCGAGAGGTGTCCCTGCGCTTCTAACGAGCGCGCGGGCGGCGGGGGTCGGACGATGGCGGCGGTCACGCGAGCTTGATGGTCGTGGGGACGTGGTGGGTCCTCTTGCCGACGGGGAACTCCTTGTCCGTGGCGGCGGAGCCGACGGAGACGTTGTAGTGGTCGAAGGGGATGTTCGACTCGAAGGTCTTGGACTTGCCCTTGTCGCCCGCGGGCGGCTTGGCCTCGTCCATGAGCTTGGCGAAGTAGCCGTGGGGCGTCGCCTCGATCTTGCCCGCGCCCCAGGACGTGATCTCGAGGGTCTCGCGCACGACGGGCCGCGGGCGGCGCTTCGTCTTGGACTTGGTCTTGCCGAGCGGGTCGCCGTCGCCGTCGCCGCCGCCGTCGTCGTCGAGCATCGACGTCTCCTCGTGGTGCTTGTCGAGGACGCGCTTGACGGGGTCGCGGATGCCCTCGGTCTTGACCTTGATGCAGTTGCGGTTCGGCTCGAGGGGGTCGTACTCGGACCTGCGCGCGACGTGGGTGAGCGTTCCATCCCCGAGTGTCATCTCTCGGCGCGTTCTCGAGCTCCGCCGCGCGCCGACGCCCGAACCTCTACACCCGAACCTCCGGCTCTCGGCGCGTCTTCGAGCCACGTCCTCCGCCGCGCGCCGAATCCCGAATCGCCGCCGACACCCGAATCTCCGCCGCGCGCCGACCCCCCCCCGGTTTCGAACCGCGACGCGGGCGCGGGACTCGATGATGATGTCGCGGAAGATCGCGCCCTTGGCGTTCGTCGTGTCGAGGAACTTCTGGAACTCGTGGCGCCGCCGCCGGTTGATCTCCGACGAGTCCATGCCGTCGAGGCGGTCGTTGATCTGGTCCTGGATCGCGCCGTAGACGCCGTCGTTCCACTCGTCGAACTGCCTTTTGAGCTTCGTCCGCGCGTTCATCTCCTGGAGCGACAGGTGCTGCTGGATCTCGTCGGCGAGCTTGTGGCCCTCGACGATGTCGGACCGCAGCTCGTTGAACTTGCGCTCGCGCCGCGCCGCGCTCTCGATGAGCTGCTCGCGGACCGCGCGCTCCGCCTCGGCTTGGCGCTTGTTCGCCTCGTCGCGGTGGCGCTCGTAGCGCCGCACGCGCTGCTCCTCGGCCTCGCGCGCCTGGCGCCGCTTCTCGCTCCGCTGCTGGGCGCGCATGGCCGCGTGGATGGACCGCGTGCGGCCCAGCGTCACGCTCTGGTGCGTCGGCGGCGGCGCGTCCCCTAAAAGCATGGCCAGCTTGTCCTCGTCGTAGACCTTGACGCGGCTCGGCGACGGCGGCGGCGGCTTCCAGTGGTCGCTGACCGACGCCGCCACGCGCTTCCCCGTCTCCCCGAGCATCGTCGACGACGCCTGCGCCTCCATCGGGTAGTTATGATGGGCAGCGGCGCGTTGCATTTCTTCATCGCCGTGAGCTGAAGCCGATATTGCCGCGTCTAGCGCTCGGCAGGATGTAGGACTCAGTAGGCTATGGAGGCGCTCGTCGATGGAGAGCGCTGAGCTGGAGGCGCCGGCCGACGCCGCGCCCGCGAAGCGGCCGCGTGGCCGACCGCGCAAGAAGGTCCGAACGCCGACCCACTGCGCGGGCACGTGCGGCGCCGACGGGAAGGGCCGCCGCTTCGTCAAGGACCACACAAGACTTCGGGTGGTAGCCGACGGGCTCTGCTGCGACTGCTGGGATGCGCGCAACCGCAGACCCTCGACGGGCGCGACGAGGCGCGCGGACGCCGACCGCGCCATGCGGCAGCGCTACGAGGCGCGCGTGCGTCCTGGAAGTTGCACGCGGAGCTCCGCAGCCGCACCCGCGTAGCGCGTGACGGAGGGCGCCTCCGCCGCGGAGACGCACATCCGCCAGTCCTACTGGAGCTCCTCGTGGCAGCCCTACTTCGACTCCGCGAAGCGCGCGGCGGAGATGCTCCTCGGCTCGGCCGAGAATTAAGAGGCTACGCCGCCCGTCGCCTAAGTCGCCGCCTAGACCATCCGGGCCGCCAGGCGAATAACTTCAATTTGTGACCGAAGCACTTGCAGTGTCTGGATCGACGTGTCCGCGTCATATCGTACGCGCGCACCTCGAGGCCATCACGCCGAAGGACACGCTTCAAAGAGGTCGTAACTCGGTCCCAAGGCGCCGACACTCGCCGCTGGTGTCTCCGAGGCATTGCAACCCCCCTGTGGGCACTCGGACGCGGAAAAAAAGTCGTCAGAGAGCGTCATGAGCGAGCACGCTTCTGCGCCGCACGCGCCGCAGCACGAGCCCGTTCCAGCGGCCTCGGAGGTCCCCGGCTCCGTGCCCGCGGCCTCGGACGTCGTCGGGAACGCGTCGGCGGCGGCGCCGGACGCGCCGGGGGCCGCGGAATCCTCCGCGGTCGCGGTCGAGTCTTCGAATGATATGACCGCAACCTCGACGCTCGCCGGCGCGAATCCGGTCCAAGCCCCGGCCGCCGCGCTCTCGCCGCTCCCGGCGACCTCCCCGGCGTCCTCGAAGGCGACGACGCCCGTCGACGCGTCCCGGACGCTCCCCGCGGCGTCCGAGGCGGCGCCGGGCGCGTCGTCGAGCGTCTACGCCGCGTCGTCGTTCCACCTGCGGCCCACGCACACCGTCGCCGACGCGGCGGCCGCCGCGGCCGCCGCCCAGGCCCAGGCGGGCGGCGCCCCGCCGGGCCACGACGCGAAGAAGCATGCCGCGTCGTCGAGCTCCGGGACGGCGTCGTCGAGCGGCGGCGGCGCGCCGTCGACGGCGGCCGCGCGCGCGGCGGCCCAGCGCGAGCGCGCGCCGCTGCGCAAGGGCAAGTGGACCATGGAGGAGGAGCACTTCACGACGGCCATCATCCGCGAGTTCGAGCGGGGCATGCTCAGCTGCCCGCCGGGCACGACGCTCCGGAGCTACCTGAGCGAGAAGCTCCACTGCGACCCCATGCGCATCACGAAGAAGTTCGCCGGCGACGCGTCCATCGGGAAGCGGGTCTTCACGCCCTGCAAGCAGACGCCGGAGAACGTGGCCGAGGCGCACCGCGTCCGGTCCGAGCTCGGCGACATGGAGCGGCGCTTCGCGAGCCACCTGCAGCACGCGTCGCTCGCCTACGCGGCGTCCGCGGCCTTCAAGGCCGCCAACGGCCGGGGCCGGAGCGCGTCGAGCCCGAACCTCGGCGGCGGCGCGCGCGGCCGGTCGACGTCCGCGGGGCCGCGCGGCGGCCGCGCGTACGCGGAGCCCCTCGACGTCGGCCGGCCCATCGCCGTCGACGCGAGCGGCAACCTCCTCCAGGCGCCGTCCTACCGCCGCGGGCCCGCGACGAAGCGCGCGCGCGACGACGCGGCGCCGGTCAAGGCCGAGGACAGCCAGCTCCTCCTCGACTTCTTCGTCGCGGTCCAGGAGCGGTCCGCGCGCCCGGCGGCGGCGGCGGCGGCGGCGCCCCTCGACGGCGGCGGCGCGCCGCCCGCCGCGGGCGCGCCGCCGGGCTCGCCGCGGGCCGCGACGCCCTGCGAGACCAAGGACCGGTCCGACTCCTGCGTCACGCGGGCGACGGCCTGCCCCTCGCCGACGCGCGACCTCCTCCTCGGCGCCGCCGCGCCCATGGACGTCTCCGCGGTCACCGCGGACGACAGACCCGCGGCCGAGGCGCGGTGAACGCCGCCGCCGCCGCCGCGGGACACCCCCACCGCGCCGCCGCCGCCCGCTCACGGGCGGCGGCGCGCCGGACTCGCCGACCACCCGAGACTCGATCGCACGCTCGGATTCGTCCGCGACCCGGGGCCCGGCTGCTCTTCCACGAACGACAGCCTAGGCTCCACCCCAAGGAGCGCCACTTCCTAAGGTGGCTCACACGCATGCTCTCGTCGTTGCAAGGTGGTTCACATGCGGGCTCTCGTCGTCGCGGCCGGGCGGGGGGCGCGGGGGCCGGCCGGAGGTTCGCGGCGCGCGGCGGTAGCTATAGCCGCGAGCCTGAGCCCCGCGCCGCCGGCGAGGCCGGCCGGCGCATCGCGCCCCGCCGCCCGTCGCGCCGCGCCGCCCTTCCTGCGGCCGCGGGGCTGTCGGCCGCCGGCGCCGTGGGATCGACATGCGCGCGGGATCGACGAAGAGGGGCTTAGGCGCCACCCGCGGGGTGGAGCGCTAGGCCTCGGCCTTCTCGGCGGTCTTGATCTCGTCCTTCTTCGACGACGCGGACTCGGCCTTCTCCTGGGCGGCCTTGGCCTTGGCCTCGAGGGCCTCGGCCATGCGCTTCTTCTCCATGATCTCCGCGCTCTTGATCATCTGCATCGCGTTCGCGACCTTCTCCTGGTACTCCTTGAGCAGGCCCGCGTTGCGCTGGACGGCGGGCGCGCGCATGCCGAAGGCCTCGGTCCATCGCGCGAGCGACTCGTCGTCGGGCTTGCAGCCGACGGCGTCCATGACCGCGACGAGGCCGACGTTGCTCGGGCGCGTGTGGTGGAACTCCTCCTGGCCCTTGATCGTCGCCGCGGCCGACGCGACCTTGGAGCCGTCGTTGGAGGCCACGGCGGCGAGGACGTCGGCCTCCGTCTTGCCCGCGAGCCACTCGGTGACGGCCTTGTGGTCGCCGCGGAGCGTCGCCGGGTCCATGTCGAGCGCGGCGATGAGCGCGTCCGTGATCTTCTCGCCGTCGCCGGCGACGGGGTAGGGCGACATGATCATGTCCATGAGCGTCACGAAGCCGAAGCCGAAGAGCTCGTCGTAGACGAACCGCTCGTTGACCTATCGTGGCGTTGACGTTCGGCGCGCGTCGCGCGCGCGCGCGTCCTTAAAGTCTCTCTCCTTTCGCTCGACGCGGCGCGCGCGCCTTGGAGATGTGCGTCGTCTGGAGCATGTCGTTGATCGGCGACGCCCACAGCGACACGATGGGCTTCGTGTAGCCCGCGTCGAACAGCTTGATGGTGTCGGACACGGTCTTGACCGTGTTCTGGAAGGACGCGCCGCCCTCCTCTGACCGCACGCTGACGGCCGCGCAGCGGCCGCGCGACGGGGCGACGAAGGACGACGCCGGCGCGAGCGCCGCGAGGGTGACGATGAGGCTGGTAGCAGTAGGCATCGTGCTGAGTCGGCCGCGAGCTGCGAGCGTCGGGAGCTGGCCTCACTGTCGACTGGCCTGGGCTTATTAGGGTGGGCGCGTGCTCGCTGTTGCGCAGAGCGAAGCGGCCCAGCGCGATGGCGTCGCGGGTTTCCCTGGTTTTGATCCCGGGAAGGGGCTCGGGTCCTGCGTGCTCGTGGCGCGTGTGATTCGTGTCGTAGGACGGCGGTCCTTGGGTTCGCGCGGCGCTCGGCGATCGCCGATTCAGCGACGCTGACGTCACATCGCGGAGTCCAGCGATGCGGCGCATGAGGTGGGCCCGTTGGCCGTGGGCGACGCGCCTGCAGACGAGCACGTGGCCGAGTCGATCGCGTCGCGGGCGTCGCCAGGCCGCGCCGCGCAGGGCAACACCCAGGCGTACACCCCCGGCTCACTCATTGCACTGACGTTCTCTCCCGATCCCCACCACCACCACACCAGCACCTACAGCGGGTTCGCAGCGTCCTTCAAGGCAGCGCGCGCGCGCCCCCCGCGGCATCGCACCGCCCGCGCACCTCCCCGCGGCCTCCCCCACGCCCGCGGAGGGCATCCACGCCCAAAAATCCCCGCGGAAACGCGCGGAACCAGCGCCATCAACTTGCTGACGCCCCGCAGGTCAAAATGAAGTTCTCCGCCGTCATCGTCGCCCTCGTCGCCACCTCGGCCTCGGCCTTCCAGGCCCCGACCAAGACGGTCCGCGGCATGGTGCGCCCCCGGCGCCCCGCATCTCCCCCGCGCGCGACGCGAAGAGCGCGGAGCACGGACCGTTTTCGGCGGCCGAGCGCCGCGCGCGCGCCCCCGCACCCCCGCGCATCTCACCCGCGTGACCCCCGCAGGCCCTCAACTCCACGCCCCCCCCGCCCAACACGGGCGAGGGCAAGGAGGGCGCCGGCAAGGGCGGCATGTTCGACACCCGCGACCCGGAGCCGTTCAAGAACGAGTCTGACCCCCGCCAGTCCATCTCCGCGGCGCCCTCCTTCGAGGAGTACCTCAAGTCCCGGCAGTAGGCGCCGCCACCGGCGCCTACCCCCCCCCAAGCGGATCCTCGCGCGCCACGACGCTCAGAGCGCGCCCGCGCGAACTTGCGCGCGGTGGGAGCCGCCTTCGCCCCCAATAAACCGAAGCAAGTGTAGTCGCACGGCACCGGCGGTCGACGGAGCCCGCGGGACGATGCAGCGGGTCGGTTCCTGCTCGGCTTCGCGAGTGGGCTTCGGGAAGTGCTTCGGGTCGCTGGCCGTCGTCTTCACGAATGACGACCTCAAGATGGACAGCGCGGACACGGCCGCCGTCGTCTTAAGCTTCGCTTTCCCCGCAGGCGCTCGCCGTGCGGCTCATGGACAGGCTCGGACGTGTGCGCGGGGCCGAAACTTGCAGTGAAAGTGAATAGGGGCGTGAGATCGCTATGGAAGCGTGACGCCAGCGTTTCATCCAGGAGTACGGCGTCACGCCCTACTGAGTACGCATATTATAGCCCCGCACAACCATCTGGAGACCGTGAAACAATGCGCCTTCGACCGCTCCTTTTATGCTCTTCGCTGGCGTTCGCCGTCGCCTGCGTCGTCGAGCGCGCGCCGACCGCCGCCGGCATCGACCGCATCGGCGCCGTTGTGGATCGCATCCGGACGACGCAGCGCTTCGCCGCCGGCGTCGCCGACCGCTGCGCGCCGCTCGTCGACCCTTTCGGCGAGCTCGGCGCCGACCCGGCGGTCGACGAAGAATTTCGCGCGCGCCTGCGGCGCTGCGGCTACGCCGTCTGCCGCGCGCCGACGCCGCTCGCGCCGGTCGTGGATCGCGCAACGGCGCTGCTCCGGGACGACGCGGCGCTCGTCGCCGCGGGCGGCGCCGTGTCGCTGTCGTCCGAGGGCCGGAGCGGCGAGTACTTTGGGGCCTACGGCGACGAGGCGACGCGTTTCGTCGACGTGCGCTTCGACGGCGCCGGCCGGCCGCTGCCCCGGGAGCTCGGCGCGTTCCCCGTGGACGACGCGACGGCCGCGCTCGCGGACCTGGGCTTTCGCGCCTGCGCGGCCGCGGGCCTCGACCCGGCCCTCGTCGACGACCCGCGGAGCTCGATTCGCGGCGCCGTGTCGTCGACGGCGCTCCGCCTCGCGTGGTACGACGCCTCCGACGAGACGCCCTTCGACGCGCACACGGACGCCACGTTCCTGACCGTGGCGCCCTTTTCGCCGGGCCTCGAATTCTACGACGGCGCGGCGTGGCACGCGCCCCGGGCCGCCGCGGACGACGACCTCGCGGTGGTCTGGGCCGGCAGCCTGCTCGAGATCGTCGACGCGACCTTCGCCGCGACGGTCCACCGCGTCGTCGGGACGCCGGAGCCGCGGACGTCGACGCCCCTCCTCCTGCGCGGCCACCCCGCCGCGCGGCCGCTCGGCGTCCCCATGCAGGACTGCTGGGAGGCGCTGCAGAAGCGGGACGCCGGCGAGGCCGCGGACTACCTCCGGGCGCGCCTCGAGTAGGCGGGATGAGTAGCAGCGCGGCGCTCGCCGGGCCCGACGTCGCCGGCGAAATAAATCTTTTACACATTAAATATTGTTGCACATATCATGCACTTTTTATTATCGTGCTCAAGTGTGTACGCGAGCTCTGCGCCATAGAAGTCGACTTTGGTCTGGGGGTGAAGAAAGACCGGCGCCGCGGCGCCCGGTCCATCGCTCGGCCGGGTCCGCCCGCGCCCGCGCCGCCCCCTCGCATGGATCCGCAGCGGCCCACGGACTGGGCCGCCATGAACGGGCAGCTGCCGCCCATGTTCGTGCCGCACCACGGCGGCATGGCCATGCGGCCGCAGATGGTGCCGCAGGGCGGCGGCCAGATGCTCCTCCCGAGCGAGCACATGTTCGTGCCCCCGGGCGTCGTCCTCGACGCGTCGCAGTTCGCCGCGCACGCGGCCGCGCGCGCGCGCCACGACTACGGCGCGCCGATGCGCCCGGAGCACTTCGCGCCGCGCCTGCCGGCGCCCGCGCCGGCGCCCGGCGCGCCGGGCCACGCGGCCCACGCCCCGCACCCGGGCGCGGCGCACGCGGCGGCGGCCCACGCCCACGCGCAGCACCAGGCGCACGCCGCGCACGCGGCGCGCCGCGCGGCCGAGGTCCACGCGGCGCAGCGGAGCGCGCCGGCGCCGCCCTTCGCCGGGCCGCCGCCGGTGGCGCCGCCGCCGGTGGCGCCGCCGCCGGTGGCGCCGCCGCCGGCGCCCTTCGCCGCGGCCCCGGCGCCGCCGCCGGCCCCGGCGCCCGCGGCGCCCGCGGCGCCCGCGGCGCCCCCGGCGCCCGCGGCCGAGGCGCCCCCCTCGGCGGCCGCGGCCGCGGCCGCGGCGCCGGCGCCCGCGGCCGAGGCCGGCGCGGCCAAGGCCGACGACAAGGCGAAGAAGCCCGCGGCGAAGAAGGAGAAGGGCGCGCCCAAGCCGAAGAAGGCGCGCGCGCCGAAGGCGCCCGCCGGCGACAAGGCGCCCAAGGCCGACGGCGACGGCGGCCCCGACGGCAAGGCCAAGGACGGCGAGAAGAAGAAGCCGGCGAAGCGCGCGCGGGCGAAGAAGGAGCCCAAGCCCAAGGCGACCGGCGACGGCGCGTCGAAAAAAGAGGGCGAGGCGAAGAAGAAGCCGTCGGGCTCCGGCGGCGGCGGCGCGGGCGCGGCGACGAACAAGCCGCCGGACTTCGTCGTCAAGCTCTACGCCATGTTCAGCGAGCTCGGCTCCGAGCTCATCACCTGGGACAGCGGCAAGATCGTCATCCCCGGGCCGTCGAGCCGCCTCGCGGCCGTGCTGCCCAAGTACTTCCGCCACGGCAAGTTCACGTCGTTCCAGCGCCAGCTCAACAACTTCGGCTTCCACAAGAAGATCTCCGAGTCGTCGTCGAAGATGCGCATCTACACGCGCGCCGACATGCTCGGCTTCCCCGCGGAGGCGCTCCTCGACCTCCGCCGCAAGCCCGGCGCGTCGTGCGCGTCGTGGGAGCCGACGGCGAACGTCTGCTCCATGCTCGAGAAGGTCGGCGCCGACGACCCGTCGCCGGGCGGCGTCCGCGAGCATCGTCGGAGTCGGGGGTTCGACCGGGGGGTCGACCGGGCGAGGGGCCGCGTTTCGGAGTCCGCGCGCGGCGGGTCGAGGCGGGCCGTTCCGACCGCGCGGCTCCCGGGAGGGGACGCGCCGCGCGCGCGCCGTTCGACGAAACACATTCCCAGGTCCCTCCTCGACGACGGCGTCATCGGCGGCGACGCCATGCTCGACGACGAGTCCACGGGCGGCGACGACGGCGTCTTCGCCGCGCGCGTCGCGAGCCTCGCGCCGCCGGCGCCGGCGCCGGCCGCGGCGACGAAGCGGCGCAAGGGCGAGGCCCGGGAGAAGCCCACGGCCCTCGAGGCGGCGCCCCCGCCCCTCGACGCCTTCGGCGACGTCGACATGGAGGACCTGAGCGACGACGGCGGCGGCGGCGGCGGCGACGCCGGCCCCGCGGCCGCGGAGCTCGTGCCGCTGAGCGCGAACATCCCCCTGAGCAGCGACATGGACGTGAGCGGCCTCGTCGACGGCGGCGCCGAGGACGAGATGGAGGGCTTCTTCGCCTTCCTCGACAACCAGGTCTGCGGGTCCGTCGTGTCGGCCGAGCGCGGCGACCTCTTCAAGGACGACAACCTGAGCCTCCTCGTCTCCGTGCGGCCCGACGCCGGCCCGGCGGGGCCCCTCGCCATGCTCCAGCTCGACGCCTTCGCGGACCACGTCCCCGGGGACCACGAGGCGCCGGGCGACGCCATGGACGACGACGACGCGGACGCCGCGGCCGCCGCGGCGCTCCTCGAGCCGCCCGACGGCTAGGGGGGGGCGCGAGCGGCCGCGTCGCCGGGCGCGCGTAGACGATCCTCCGGCGGCGCGACGCGGGGTGGCGTTTTTCGGAGGAGGTCGAGATCGCGGAGCACTGGGGCGCGCGCGTCCGGAGGCGTCCGGGACGAGCCACTGCCGGCTAAGCTAAAGTTAACCGGTTCAAAGAGCAGCGAAGCCGTGAAGTTTTGACGTCACGGCTTTGCCTCGCTCCGGGCTCGGACGCGCGATGCAGCGGTTCCAAGACTTGGCGCGGCGCTCGGTCTGTGGACCATGTCGCGCCTTGGGCCCGGCTGTGAGTCGCTCGGGAAAGACCATCGGTCGAAGGCGAGCAACTTAGTTCGCGTCGGGGCAGCCCGTGGATGACGAGAACGGCCATTAACGGTGGGGGGCGACCGACGAGGGGCCCAACTTAGTTCCAGGGGGCGTTTGGGCTGTTAGACTTCGAAGAGACCCCCCCTGGAATGATGTTCCCGAGGGCACTGTCTCGGTTCTAACAGCCCAAACGCCTCATGCATTGCGCGGTGAGCACCGTGTCACCCGCGGCGCCGCACGCCTCCCGGAGGTGGTGAGGTGATCTCGATCAAATCCACTCGAGCCGAAGAGCTGCCGCGAGGGCATCTGGTCGCCCCCATGACGAACGATTCCCGACGCTCTGTGACTCGAAGGGGACCGAAAATCGGGTCGGGGGAAGCTGCCGCGCCTCATTCCACCCCCTGGGGCTGCCCGTTTGCGTCGCCTCGCAATCGTCCGGATGTCACGTCTTTTCATGTGCCTCACCCACATGTTTGCGGACCTCAAAGCCACTGGGATCGTTGCACGTCGCTGCATATTCGAGGAGCGCGGGGCCCTCTAAGGTGGAGATTCCATCATCGGCCGCTGAAATGCTCGCACGAGAGACCGTCTCTTAGCTACGGATTACTGCAGCATTGCTTCATAGATGTGCTTGTTCAACGACGGCTCATTCGCAGCCGTAGCCGGTGGTGCCGACCGGCACCTTGTGGCGAGAGCTCGCACGACTGCCAGCAGTGGCGGGAAGGCAGCGCTCGCATGCGCGCCGCGGCCGCGCGCTGCGCGCGCGGCGTCGGTCCCGCGCTGCTGCGACGAGGAGCGCGCCGCCGGCGACGCGCGCGACCGCTGTCGTCCTGCGTCGCCGAGGAGGCCTGCGCGCCGGAGTACGCCTCCTCCGCCGCCGCCCTCGCGGACGCGGCCGGGGACGTGGACGCGGACGTGCTCTACGTCGTCGGCGGCCTCTACGGCAACGGCCTCGCGCTGGCGGCGCTGGAGGCGGCGCTGCGCGACGAGGCGCGGGCCGTCGCGGCTGCGGGCGGCGCGCTCGCGGTGTGCTTCAACGGCGACTTCAACTTCTTCAACGCGACGCCCGAGGCCTGGCGCGACGTCAACGCGCGCGTCCGCGCCTTCGGCGCGACGGCGGGCTGCGCGTCCGTCGCGACGTTCGGGAACGTGGAGGTGGAGGTAACGCGCGACATCGAGGCGCGCGCCGCCGCCGCGGGCTGCGGCTGCGCGTACCCGGCCTACGTCGGCGCGGACTTCGCCGGCCGCGCGGCGGCCATCGTGAACGACCTGCGCGGCGCGGCGCGGCGCGCCGACGACGCCGCGGCCGTCGCGTGGCTCCGGGGCCTGTCGGCGCACGCGACGTTCCGCGTCGGCGGGGCGCGCGTCGCGGCGCTCCACGGCGACCCGACCTGCGTCAACGGCTGGCGGCTCGCCGCGGAGCACGTGCGGGACCCGCGCGGGCGTCGGAGCCGGGCGCCGCCGGGCGCGCCGGCGACGGACCCGGCGGAGGTCGCGGTTTGGTTCGACGCCGCGGCGTGCGACGTCTTCGCGGCGTCGCACACGTGCCTGCCCTTCCTCCAGGAATTTGCGCCGGGCAAGCTTGTAGCGAACAACGGCGCGGGCGGCATGGCCAGCTTCGCCGGCGACGCGCGCGGCCTCGCGACGCGCGTCGCCGCGGCCGGCGCGCCGCCGTCGCGCCTCGCGGCGCCGCTCTACGGCGCGGCGCTGCCGGGCGGCGCGACGGTGGACGCCGTCCCCGTGCCCTTCGACGTCGGCGCCTACCTCGCGGCCTTCGACGCGACCTGGCCGCGCGGCTCGCCCGCGGCGGTCTCCTACCGCGACCGCCTCGCGGGCGGCGTCGCGGACTGGACGCCCGACGACGCCGACCGCTGCCGACGGGCGTAAACGGTCCTTTTTCTTACTAGGCTGCGTTTTTGCACATTCGCAAGTACATTCGCCTTCGAACTTTGTCGAACTTCAACGTGGCGGCCGCATCTTCGAGCTCGAGGGGCAGCCCCCGACGCGATCGACGCGTCGAGCCCATCGTCGTCACGAGCTCCGCAAGAGTGGTGCAAAACGTTCATTTGGGCTGCCTCGATCCATCGCGCATCGCAGCCATGTCGCGCGAGAGCTCCGAGCTCTGGGTCATTTCCCTCATCGTGCTCGTCTACGCGGCGTGCATCGCAGCCGCCGCGGGCTACGCCTATTACACGAAGAAGAGCAAGGGCTCGCTCATCGCCGGCGGCGTCACCTTCCTGTGCGCATCGCCGCGCCCGAACGATGATTCGCGACCGTCCCGCCACGCGCGCGAAACCGCAGGTGCGTGCTCGGCGCGGACATCGCGTCGTTCGTCGATCCGCACAACGTCGTCGCGTGGGGCGCGCTGTCCGTCATGTCGCTCGTCGTCCTCGGCGCGTCGGCGGCGACGTGGAAGTACTACCCGGACGAGAACGGCAACCGCGAGAACGTGCCCCTCGTGCCCCTCGGCGCCTGTTCCCTCGTCGTCTTCCTCGTGCAGCTCGTCGCCATCATCACGATCGAGGTCAAGTGACGCGCGGGTCGTCGTAAGGGACGTTACTCCGCGTAGCGCGCGCACGCGCCGGGGTCGAAGGCGACGCCGGATCGTTCGGCGATGCGGGCGAGGGCGTCGACCTCGGCCCGGCTGAAGAGGAGGCCGTTGGCCCGCGCCGAGCGGAGGGCGGCCTCGCGCTTGCCCTGGCCGGGGAGCCGCGCGCCTTCGTTGCCCGGGCCTAGAATGTCGGCGACGACGGCCTTGACGTTCTCGTCCACGGTCGCGACGTTCGCCGACAGCGACGCCGGCGCGAGCGCGTCCGGGTGCCAGGCCTGGAAGAGGAAGTTGCACGTGCGCTTGTCGCCGCCGTCGCCGCCGCCGACCTTGGAGCGCACGGACGGCAGGGAGCCGCCGCCGAAGGCGGCCAGCAGCTCCGTCAGCAGGCAGAGCGAGTAGCCCTTGTGGCCGCCGACGCACGCGTGCGCGTGGAACTCGTTCGGATCCGTCGTCGGCCGCCCGTCCTTGTCGAAGATCGCGCCCTCGGGGCACCGCTTGCCCTCGCGCGCCAGCGCCTTGACCGTGCCGTTCGAGATCACGCTCGTCGCCCAGTCGATGCACACGTCGAAGCCCAGCGCGTTCGTCGTCGGCAGCGCGTAGGTCTGCGGGTTCGTGCCCATCGACTTTCGCGTGCCGCCCGTGGGGACGACCTCGGGGATGGCGCCCGTGCACGTCGTGTAGGCGATGTAGCCCTTCGCCGACGCCCGCAAGACGTAGTGCGCCCCGAAGAGATAGTGGAACGCGTTGTCGACGGCGACGCAGCCCGTGCCGTAGGCCTCGGCGAGCTCGCACGCGCGGTCCATCGCGGCCTCCGCGACCAGGAAGCCCGAGCACCGCCGCGCGTCCCAGCGCTCGCAGGCCTTGAAGCGCGACTCCAGCACGGTCCACCGCGTCGCCGGCGCGCAGCCGCCGACGACGCTGCCGAGGTGCTCGTCGACGTCGAGCGCCTTGAGGGCGTTGTGCGTGCGGTTGCCCAGGAAGGTCGCCTGCCGGCAGCAGCGCGCGGCGGCCCGCGCCTCGTCGTCGTCGAAGCCGCGCTGCTTGAACGCGGCGACGATGATGGCATCGTGCGTGGCCGCCTCGACCACGAACCACGACGCATCATCGTTCAGGGCTGCCATCGCCTGCGACAAGGCCGAGGTTTGCAACCTGCCCTGGAGCGTCTTACTGCTAGCCGGTCCTAGAACGACGACGAATCCTTCAGGGCTGCCATCGCCTGCGACAAGGCCGAGGTTGGCAGCCCCGGAAAGATGCCGTGGGACATCAGCCGACGCTGCACCACCCAAAATCGACCATCAATTGAGTGGATTTGGGCTAGAGCGAGTGGCGGGCGCGGTCGACGGCCTCGTGTTCCCGCGTAGACCGCCGCCCGTGTGGTGCAGTCCGGCGGCGCTTCCCCGCGGGATCGGGCGCGACCATGGGTAATCTCTGCGTGAACGCGAAGAACGTCGAGGAGAAGAAGGTCTCCGAGAGCGCCCGCGAGAGCGACAAGACGCCGCAGCAGAAGAAGTACCCGTACAACTGGCCCGTGGGCGCGGAGCAGGTGGGCTACCTGACGGAGCGGCAGGTCAAGGCGCGGCTCAAGACGCAGACGGAGCAGGCGCGCGCGCGGCGTCCCCCGACGCGCGCGCGCGCGCGGCACCGCGACGCGCGCGCGCGCCTCGCGCAGGTCGTGGACCTCCCGGACGGGTACCGGTTCCGGTGGGCGGCGGCGTCGCAGCGGGGCTACTACCCGAGCCAGGCGGACAAGGCGAACCAGGACTCGTTCGCGGCGCGGCTCCGGCGCCCCGCGGTTCCGCCCCCGCTTCGAACGCGTCGTCCGACCGCGCGCGCGCCCGCTCCCAGGTGCACATCGACATGAACGGCACGGGCAAGCACTGGTTCGCGGTCTACGACGGCCACGGCCCCGTCGGCGAGAAGTGCTCGTCGTTCGCGTGCGAGCACGTCGCCAAGGAGTTTTCGAAGGCGCTCAAGGACGGCGCGGACGCGCGGACGGCGCTGTCGACGAGCCACGTGAAGACGAACAAGATGCTCGCGGCGAACTCGAGCATCGACGACCAGCAGAGCGGGACGACGGCGATCACGCTCTACATGGACGGCCGCGACCTGCTCATCTCGAACGTCGGCGACAGCCGCGTCATGCTCGGCTCCGTCGGCGACGACGGCGGCCTCGTGACCAAGTCGATCTCGACGGACCAGACGCCCTACCGGCGCGACGAGCGCGAGCGCGTGAAGAAGTACGGCGCGCGCGTCATGACGGCGGACCAGATCGACGGCGTCGAGCCCATCCACGAGAACTGGGACTGCAAGCTCGGCGACGAGATCGACGACGGCGGCGACCCGCCGCGCATCTGGGCCCAGGACCAGGAGTACCCGGGCACGGCCTTCACGCGGTCCATCGGCGACTCGCTCGCGGAGAGCCTGGGCGTCATCGCCGAGCCGGAGATCGACGGCCACAAGCTCGGGCCCAAGGACCGCGTGCTCATCGCGGCGTCCGACGGCATCTTCGAGTTCATCACGACGAGGAGCTGCATCGAGACGGCCCTCCTCTACAGCGACCCCCTCGAGGCGTGCAAGGCGCTCGTCGGCGAGTCGTACAAGCTCTGGATCGAGCGCGAGGACCGCACGGACGACATCACGATCATCCTCGGCTTCGTCGAGCCCCCGGGCCTCGGCGACCACACGAAGCCCGCCTCCACGGGCCACGCGGACGTGTCCACGGAGAGCATCCCCGTCGAGCTCCCCGGCGGCGACGCCGGCGGCGCGCCGTCGCCGGCCAAGGGCGGCGACAAGAAGAGCAAGACCCGCCGCGGCTCCCTCAACGCCTCCGCCAAGTAGGCGCCGCCCGGCAAGACCAAGACCTTTCGGCGCGGCGGCGCGCGCGCTCCGAGCGCGCGGCGGCGCGCGCCGCGCGGGCGGGTCCCCGCCCCCTCCGGGGGGGACCCGCCCCCCCGCTATGCCCCCGCCCCCCCCAGCTCCCGTTCGACTCGAGCCCCGCTCCTCCCTCCATCCACATAACACGATGTGCTCCTCGAGCCTTCCTCGACTAATCCTCGACTTCCACAGGCCTAAAGTTCTCTAGGGGCTCCAGTGCACTGGGAAGCCGATCCGATGGGCAGCGCCCGACTTTGACGGCCGCGTTCGGCGGCTCGGTCCGCCGGGCGCCCCGGCAGCCTTCGAGCCCGCGCCGCGCCGGCGGGCGATCTTCGACGCGCCGCTCTCGATCTCGAGAGACGAGCACGATTTCGGGGCGAACGGGGCCTCTGGATCCGGGCCATTTCGACGCGTCGAGGGGCGATATGTCGGTCCTGGTGCCAAAAAAACTCGGCCGCGCGCGGGGAATCGCGAAGGTATAGTGTCGCGAT